CTCACAAAAATTGTTTTCTCGTTCACGCAAGAGTCAGCATAACCCTTATTCAGGCAGGTGATCGAAACGTGCTCTCCATATCGAATCGTTCGATCTGCATTTCAGATATTGGGAAATTCTGGAATTTCATTGAATCGCCGCTACTACGCGATATGTAGATTATTTAAAATCGAACGCTTTCTCGATAGAATGAAAAGGAACGATTCTTTAAATCCTATAGGATTAGTTTTGTTTGGAATCTTATAAGGAGTAAAAGTTGAAAGGAGAAAATTGATTCTTCATATATTGAATACTTATAAATAGTCATTTAAAAGTCATTGAACTATTTAAATGAAAAGAACTATCGTACATAATTTTTTTTATATTTATAAATTATTACATAAATTTCCAAGGAAAAAAAAATCATGGAGAAAGAAGTTTTATAAATTCAAAAACAGGAACATTAAATCTGAACATAAAAAGAATGACAAGAAGAAACACGACTGATGAATTGTTAAAACATTGAAATAATTTGATGGAAACATCGGACTTTATTATATCAGAAACATTTACAGAATTATTAATTAATATCGATATGAGATCTTTTGCTACGAGGACGAGTGATCCGGACGATGCGACGAATTTCAAAGCGACAGAGTGATCGTTGAATCGAATATCAGCATGTTTCACACTATTAGACGTAGATTAACACGATTAAGCGACAGATATTAGAATTTGATGCTGGAATCTTGGTATCTTTAGTTGGAGTCCTGGCGTGACAGCCAAGCGTTGCATGTCTCGCTCACGGCTTCGCAGACCGACGACATGGCTCGGCTAGTGATCTCATAATCTGCATCACGAATAATAATAAAAATCATTTATGTTATCAGTGAAAGGAAGGTATACTCGAGACGAATGAAAATAAAAAATTTGAGAATTTGGTAAATTTTAAAATTACCAGTGATGGTGTTGGATCGCTTGCCGAAAATGCTTCCATTGAAAGGAGGCTTCCTGTAAGCGGCATCCACGCTGATGGCGAGGATGAGGAGGGCAGCAATCACGGCGAGAACAAGGCGGGTGGATACCATTTTGATGCGAGTTTTTGTTTGCGAGCTATTTGGAATTAAAAATTATTTGATTACTATTTAAATTGTTCGCTGAACTGGATCGGACGAGAGAAGAGAAAGTAAAAATATTGTGGAATACCAGTTTGAAAGTTTTTCCAAAGTTGTACTAGACTTTAAAGACTTTTCTCTTTTCAAACGGTCGATTTACTCACAAATATAAAAACCGATGGGACTTGTGCGATAGTTGGTCAGCGAATGTCGTAAATAAGGCAAAAGCTTCGAGCTTTTATAGTAGAGAAATGAGCCGAAGATAAATATCCCTATCAAATACAGATTCGCCTACATTATTTACAAGTGAACTGAACAAAGAGTTGATCTAAGAACATATCGATTTGGTATTTTTTATGTTAAAAATATACCGTACCAAGAGAAATAAAAAGCAAAGGGTATCCAAGTTTCTTTGATAAATCACAGAAGATTTAAACAAGATTTTACATGAAATAAATTTTTCTTTGTACGATATAACTATAAATTGTAACTCTGGTCGTTACCTTAAGCTGGAAGATGTCTTCTCGAAAGGAAGGATCGCTGTGATCTGATGTTTTCGAAAGAAGGCTCGGCTTTTATAAGAAGCCAGAAGCTGCACATCGTCTTATGTGATATGTAATATTGTTACAGATCGATGTGACAAGCTATCAGGATCGAAATACAATTATACGTACTACTGATTACCTTCTGCCCCCAAGGAAATAACAATCTAGTTGGCAATAATGAAGAAGAATCGTGTATAAATGTAAAAAAAATGTAACGAGTAATTTTACGTAAAAAAAGAAATTATTATATATTGTTTTTAATGTACTAGAATATTATTATATACGCATAATTATAATATATTATATTATGCAAAAAATAAATATCCTTAGAATTAAAAAAACTTGAAAAAATTCATTTAATTCAATTTTCACAATAAAATTTTTATATTTTTTCATCATCTTATTTAAATCTAATAATAAAATTTTTATATATTTTTTAATAAATTGTTTGATATTAATATATTGATATAATTTATATTATTAAATTCATATATAAAATATGTACATATATATATTATATGATTATATTTAATTTTTATCTGAAATATATTTATCATTATGAGAAATAAACGATTCTTCAGTTTTTTTAGAATTAAATGTCAAAAAAAAAATATATTCTAAAGCATTATAAAGAATATGTTATAAAGCATTATAATATGTATATTTTATATTTAAAGATTTCGGCACTTTGTATTTTTAAAAAAAAAATATGTTATATGAATTGAATTTCATATCTTATTGGTAATCGTATAGCGAGAGTGAGACAAGGAAAGCATATGGTTAAAGAAGGACAGAGATATCTACGAAATTGTGGAATCAGCGCCATCTTCAGTGTGCCGCAAATGAAACACAAATAAATAAAGAGAGAAAATATTATGAGAAGGATAGAAATAGAAGAATTGATCACTAGCGCCATCTCTTGAATTCTAAAAATACTTTTCATAAAACACTTTCCAAAATTCTTCGAGAGATGGCGCTGGTTCCTAATTCCTACTCTATTTTATCCATATTAAAGAGGTTCCATCGGTCTTCGAGAGATGGCACTGGTTCCTAATTCCTACTCTATTTTATCTATATCAAAGAGGTTCCATCGGTCTTCGAGAGATGGCACTGGTTCCTAATTCCTACTCTATTTTATCTATATCAAAGAGGTTCCATCGGTCTTCGAGAGATGGCGCCGAGAGTCAATTCTTACCTATCTCCATCTTTCTTTCACCATTTTCCCTCCTTGTTTATATGTGTTTCATTTGCGGCACTCTGAAGATGGCGCTGATTCCGTAATTTCGAACCTATCTCTATCCTTCTTCCACTATACACTCTCCTTGTCTTACATTCACTCTATACGTATAAATCACATTTAATATTCTGGACTACTTACAATTGATAAAAACAAAATTTTAATTACTTGCGTGCGTAATATTTTAATCATCGATCTTTTTTCTATTCCATTTAACATTGAGAATATCCATTATTGAATTTGATTAAAACTTTTTTAAAAAAATTTGAAACAAGATTTAATTTAAAAACACGCGTAATATCGGATATTATATCATTTATTTATCGTATGACAAAACATAATGCGAATATTATATTCACTTACATCGTATATACATAATGTACAATCACAAACAATAAATAATAGAAATATATAATCAGAGAATGGAATAACTTGTATAATTTTAGTGACGAATAGCGTTTGAGCATAATATTCGTGATATATCTATCTTGATTATTTAATTTTATTACTGTTTCCCGACAGCAATCGCATATACATATATTTATGTGTACATATCAGAATATAATAACGCGCTATTAATATTAACAATTATTAAATTGTACATATTATATCCTAAATTTGTAAATTGGTACCCGAAAAGTTTCGATTTCTCGATATATCGTATAATATAATCAAATAAAATCTTGGATGGGCATATTTATATAAATATTTACAAAGCAATTATGTCACTTATAACTATATATGTAGCCAATTAATCGCTGAAATCGAGTCTTTCGCGCACTTTTGATTGTTGCCTCCGAATTATTTCGATGTTCGTGTCGATATATCGCGAAAAATTCCGGTTTGTTCATCATTCGTTTACGATCTGAAAGACATAGTCGGTATGAAATGCTGCCTAATAATTTTTACACGACAGACGGGGTATTGCGTATTGGTCGAAAGTGCGCAAAAGGCAAAGTTTGCATCGCTCAGGCATACTAGAAATCTACGTCTTATTGTCGCGTCACAACTTTTTTTGAAATGGCACACTATATAAATAAACGAACGCACGTTTTTTTTTTTTTTTACTCTCGCTCGAAGGAAGATCATTTTGCAGCCATTTGCGACCAATAATCGATTCCTTCGGAACGTGGTTGCGTACGAAAAAAAAAAAAAAGAAAATAACAATAATCGCTTAAACAACAATTGGTACTCGCATGACATTGGTACTTGCATCCGCATTCTGCACGATTCGTCGGATCTTATCGAGTTCGATCGAGTGTGTACACATGCGGAGTAGCAAAGAGACTACGAAATGGAAGACATGGATTTTGTTTCGTTTCGCTTAACAAACATCTTAAAACGTTCTTTTATTCTAATTCCCTTATTTAAATACAGGTGTCGTGTAAAATATTATCCATTTACGATAAGAAGAAGATCTTACAGAGCTATCGCGCGATGATGACGCGACGATGCACGCGTTAGTTGCATCGCGGCCACGTTATAAATATCGTTTTATTGCATAATACACACATTGCACTTTAGCGTCCCGTTCACACGCCTCGAACAATGCTCGTAATTGTGTATCAAAAGCCTTCAAAGATTCCCAGACTGTAAATCCCGGCGCAAAGGAAGCGTTCTTTCACCTATCGTGGAAACGGTCGATAGTCTGCTGCAACGAAACACCTCTCCTCTTCGTCTCAAAGAAAAATCCCTCTATTATTGCAGTGTGATAAAAAGCTTTTTCCTTGGACGTTAAGCTCCTTCCCGTTAAGCGCGTGAACCGGACCTAGCGTCTAGAGAAATCTTAAGCCTAAGAAAGCAATTAAGCCACCCAACACGACCGATAATCGTTTCGAAAAAAAGAGAGAAAGAAAGAAAGAAAGAAAGAAAGAAAATCCCATGGAACGCCGTGATCTCGTCTTGATCAATCGTGATCGATCAAGAGAGCATCCTCCTCGGATGAAAGACGAGGGAATTTCGCGTATTTCTTATCAAATCTCTTACTCTACCTTGCGATATGGACAAATATCGATGAATATCTCGCTCGATCGAAATACACGCCGCTCCTCTCGACGAGGATTAACGCTTAGATTAAGAAAAGAGAAGGAGAGGGGGAAAAAAGATAGGAGCGAAACGCTTTACCAACTAAATAAGACTAACCTTACGTCCTATTATCTCCACCATCGTCCACCGACTAATCTACGAGATATGTAAATTCGTCCATCTTCATCTCGTCCCATCATCCCTCCTCCGCTTCAAGGTATAATGTCGCAATGACAGGCGCTGCCGCCCTTACCGTTGTCGCACTGGCTGACACACCATAGATCCCAATCCATGGAATCCTCGTCCATAGGCGAATCGGGGCTCAAATTGCCGGCGGTAGCGTTCTTTTCCACGCTCCACGCCTCGTCCATCTCCATCTCCACGCTCCTCTCGGAAAGCTCCTCCTCCTCCTTCTCCTCCTCGATTCCACGCCGATCCCCGACAGAAGCGACGGACCAAAAGCGTCGATCGTCGATCGTCCTGTGTTTCGACGTGGCTCCATCGATCTGCTTCAACCTCTTCTGCTTCTCATCCTCCTCCACCTCCTCCTCCTCCTCCTCCATCTGCTCGTGGAGGTCGCCAGCCCTCTCATCGCGATCTACGCGGCGACAGGAGCAACCGTGACGCTTGACGAGCGACTCCCTGAACGCGCGACAGACGGGGCTGCCGTCGTAGCGGATGGTATCCGGTGCACCATGGCACGGGGTCAAGCAGAGGGCGAAGAGATTCGGGGGCCGGCCTGCACCGGACTGAAGATCCCGATGGTGGCCGCACACTCCCGTGATTTCGGCGGTGTTCCGTGCATGGCAGAGGCGGACGCATGCGTGGCGAACCGGATGCGCGGCGACCGTGGCCAACAACAACGACAGCAACACCCACCCGGGGAGCAGAGGCGTCATCTGAAAGTGATGGCTAATCAATACGGAAGCGAGGAAAACGAGAAACGTTCCGATGCTTTCGGATCGCGTCCCAGGGATTGGTTATCGAGAGGGTTATCGAGAATTTCTGCATCTCTCCTCGATCTCTCTATCTCTCCGCGGCTCTCCCGGTATTCGCTCTCTGATGTAAGCGATGCGCGCACAACGAGGGTGGCTCCGATCATGGAGTTGTGTAATAAGAAGAAAATGTGGGTGGGAAGAGGAATGATTCGAGTTTGATAAATTTTTTCTTGGAAATTAGTGGGGAACGTTTATATCAAACGATTTTTGCAGGATGAAGAAGCGATCTTTTATCGTTTTCTTTAAAAATTTACCCTTTTATCTATGTAATATTCTGATTTGTGATAATGTTTGATTTCTTCTATAATTCCATTCAAAACGTTTCGAAATAATAAGTGATACGTAATGATATATGTTGACATTGTTACTATTTAATAGTTTTGCTTTATTGAATACCTTGTTATATCTAAAAAAATATTAAGCGTTTAATGATTAAAAAGAATAAATAAATAATTAGTCAAATTGAAATATATTAGATTAGAAGGTACGATAGGATCTCAAGTGGAGTTTCTTGGAGAAGAAAATTAACAATTGTGTGTTTTCTAAAAAGGGATTATTTTTTGGTCGAAAGAAGAATTTGATACAAGTATTACAGGACACGCTGTATTTCTCGATTGGCAGGATTGCGGAAAGAGTAATACCAGAATCTTGGGTATCCGTTATCGGTTTTGGGAACCTTGTGTCGATAACTGGTTCCCGTTTCGAGTTCGAAACGAGCAAACTTTACTGTAAATTTCATTAATTGTTACCAGCAACTTGTACCTTTTCGAACGATCGATCGCCTTTATTCCCTCTATTCGTCTCGAGTTAAAGAAAAATTTGTGAAGAAAAAGAAACGCGTTGACTTCTTTTTTAATTGTTATTGATTTTACATGCACGATATAATTTTTAATTCTGTATATTTATTTTCATCGAAATCTAAAGAAATTTGCGGAGGAACAAGAGATTCGAGATTTCAAATAATTTAAAAAAAAGAAAATGTATTATTGAATTTTTTATTGAGCTGCTCAATTGAAACGCCACACGCGTATTATTATTGCGCTAATTTAAATCTCGTCTGGGAATATAGAGAAGCTGTACACCAGTTGCTTTTCAATGCATGAAATAATCTTTCTAGAAATCTCATCTTTCGTTGCTTTGACTACCAAGCATTGAAATTCATTCGTATATTCGTGCGAATATTCAAACAGGAAAATTAAAATTTCTTTTTTCACGATAAAGAATTTCACGTATCGAAAAATCTTTTCTGAAAAATTTTCTTCCTTTCCCTTTTGTGTAAAAATTTCAACGCTTTTACAAAAAATTATATAAAAAATTTCATTTGTGGGATTTCGATCGATAGAAATTTACAGGAGTTCAAAAACAAACGATTTAAATAATGAAAATTAAAATAATAAAAGAAAAACGATAACTTACCTCTGATAAAAGAACAGTAAGAATAGATTCTGAATGTGTAAAGTTGATCGTGTGAAATAGTCAGAGGAATTTGTTTTTACGACCCAAGCTACTGGACTCGACTGTTTGATCATCGACGATTAACTATCATTGGAGTTACGGTCTGATTACGTATAAACGCATCCAGGAAGTGCGAATTAAAGATAACGATTCGTTTACGTTCATTTTTTTTTTTCTTTTTTTTACGAAAGGTCACCGTCCATTCGAGAAACATTGATCATTGAAAATCGTACAAATTATATATGCCTGCTCGTCTCTCTATTCGATTATTTATATGCATTATTATTTATAAAATGCAATATCATTTTCACGTGACATAATAAACTCGAGAAATTTCGATTTTCCCTTGTAAATTGCAAAATACGACTGTTATTGGTAAAAACAAGATTACTGTATTGATAAATTAAAGTACATATATCTTGTGTCAACGATGAATGATCAGTTAAATAATGATAGCCAGTTGGAAAAAACACGAGTAAAAATTCTCTTCTAGAAATGTTGTAAAAGGAGTATCGCGATAAAATTTTATTTTTCCATTTCGTTATCTCCATTCATAGTTGAGTCCGTGTAATTGTAAAGATATTACATAAGTACATAGTCTCGACTAAATGGTTAATTCATGGGGTGAAAACATATTTCACGCCATAATTGAAATCATTGATTAACTTTCGAATTATCTGCCCGTTCGTGGAATCTTATCACGAGACGACTCACGATAACGATGATAACAGGTGACGCGATAGAAAAATATTAGATATTCATCACAATAAGAACGAAATAACGTTTAATTCCGACTGAACCTCGTCTCGTTCGATATTAAAGATAAAATTTTTTCATTTTCTGATCGTGAAATACGAATTTTTTCGAGGGAGTATATCGTGTCACTGGCGTTTTTCACCGCGAAATACCTGCCTTCCAAATGAAAAATAACCGCGAACGAGATAAATGTGCAGACGAAATTCGCCAACTTTTCAATCTAGGTTACTCGAAATTTGTTTCACAGAGACAAACGAGTAACTGTTGTCCGGTTCCATGAATATTCACGTTCACGCTTAATCCTTTCGCGTATGCACAAATACGTATATATGTGGGATATCGATCGGATTTCAATCATGCCCGCGAAATTCTATCTTCTTCGAGCAAATTATCTTTGATCGTGAACTGTTAGATCACGTTCAACTCTCGTTTCAATCCTCTATGTACTTTTTGTCGATTTGCTTATTCGCAAGTTTGCACTTGAATCGAGTAATATTCGATGTTATAGAATAGAAAAATTATTGTTATTATTTTTTTTTTATTTAAAAATATCGCTAATTTTTACTCGAATTTGAATAAAATATGATCACAAATAAAATACTTCAAATGTGCAAAGATGTATCTATGCTGAAAACAATCCATAATTGATCACTGATCTTTGAGAGAAAGATAATCGCTTTGATAATCCGTTATCGTAGAAAGAAGTAATAAAATTCTGTTAGCAAAGACGTTAAATTGTAATGTGAAGATAAAATAATTATGACCTATTTTTTTTTTTTTTAATACTTAATCTTATTTGAAAAAAATTCGATAAAATTGATTTTTTTTCGTTTAAATTAATTTATATACTCTTTGCTAAGTAATTGATTATATAATAATTAATAATATCACAGAGGTTTATCCGCATCGCAATACTTTTATATCGATTCATAGATAAATTAATTTACGAAAAGAATGAAAAGAAAGATAAAATTAAGGATTCGAGATTAAAAATTTCAGACTATAAATTTGCATTCTGCATTCGTTTTCTTTGAAATAAATAAAGAAATGGAATCCGTATTATTTAAAAGCGCAATTCCCGGAATAGAATCTCTCGCGATTTTTCTTACTCGCGAAACAAAGCAAGAAAAAAATGGGAAACAGCCTCGAGGAAACAATGAAAAAGAAACTTGGACACAAGTAATTTGCATTCACTGGATCGAGAAATTTATCCAGAGACGTTCGAAGGTTCTTCTTTTACTTGCTCCAGGCTCCATCGTTTCAATTTAAACTTTCTGAGAAGTAAGAGCGACTCGAATATCTGTTGAATCTTTTCATTTTCCTTTAAAAATTTTACAATTAATGAAATATAAAAACGTTATCGTTTGTTAATTGATTAAATTAGATTTTCGAGCTCGAGTTTTTAAGCAAGGTGTCGAAAATTCTTATTGAAATAAACATTTCAGTCAAAGAATTATATCAAAAGATTGTGAAGACACGTTTCAACAATCAAAGATAATAATCGCGCACTCGATTTTGTTTTATCTTCACGAGACTTGTCATATTTTTTGATATAACGAAATAATCGCAATCGCAATCGACAGAAACTCGAATGGCGTACTCGACACAAACAACGATACAAATTATCCGATAAAATGGAAGGTGAGGTCGGGGGTATTCTTATCCTGCCTAAAACAAACTCTTTTCTTTTTCTCAAAGCGCTCCTCTTTCCATGATTTTACGAACGATTTTACACCAAGATGAGTGGTGGAACAAGAAGGATCGTTGAAAGAAAGAAACGAATTCGCATTATCTGGCGATGTGTGAGAAACGTACGAGAAGAGGAGAAGGTGTATCGACCTCGACGATGCGATTAAGTACACTCGAGAACGAGTTGTTACGTCCCTGGCACTTTCTCAGTCTTGCCCTGTCCTCCACCCTCTCACGAAGGACGGAGGAAGTATTGATTAAATTCACTGTCGGCCATTTTGCCTCGCCATCCGATTGGCTGCCGTCCATTTTGTCCTTCCTACCCCTCCTCTGCCTCTCTGTTTCTTCCTCCTCCTCCTCTGTTTTTCATTCTCGTTACGTCTCTGTTTCCACTGTCTCCTTCTTTCTCTTTCTCTCCCTCTCTCCCTCCCTTCTTTCAATTGCAAAGTTCTCAACCCCCGCGAAGGAAACGAGAGTGGAAACAAGAGTGGAAACGAGAATGGAAACGAGAGTGGAAACGGGCATGCGTCGCGACATTTTCCGCGAAGAGAAATCGGCGATCGGACATTTCTCTTCTTCTTTTTTTTTTCGCCATTCACGTTCCATCGTTTTTTCCATCCCCAAGAATTCTCTACGTTGGACACCCGCGTTCGAGAATCGCGTTCCCTTGAACCGAAACGAGTCACGAATTCTTAGAAAGCTTCACCGAGCTCCGATCCTTTTTAAACAGATAATTTGAATTTCTCGAGATCCTCCGGGAATACTCGATATTCTAGGACGCAATTTCTATTCCAACTATGGTTCCTATTATTCCAACGATTCCTCCAATCTCCAATCGTCCAATCGAAAGAGATCAACATCGATCTACTCCACCCCCGTGCAAGAGTTGTTCTTCACGTTTCTCGCTCAAATTTTACAATTAATTTACCAATTAATTTCATCCACGAGCGAGAAATGATCTCGACGTAGTCGATAAGAAAGCCACACTCGAAAGTTACCATCACCATCGTCCTCCAAGAATTTCACCGTCCTCGCCACCCTGATGAACGCAGGTATCTCGGGCAAGCGTGACGGAGATTTCGCGGCTAGCCTCGTTGGAACCCATCTGATTCCACCACGGGAACGCATTCAACAAACATATAAAAGGGATGCAGCATTCCCTCGCGGCGAGAACCGCGCGAGATGATGCCTCGTATCTCGAGGAAACAGATAAAGCGTGGAACGATACGTCACACTGTCCTCTCTGACGTCAGTGTGACGTTCGAACGGGGATTGGCCGAGGTTCGACACGCCTACGCGGGCCACCCCCGTGCCACAGCACCCCGAGCGCCCGTGCACACAGGGCTGCGTCGCCCCGCCACGCAAAAACAACCCCCGCCAGGTCGAGGGTAGGGTGCGTGGGTTGCACGAGAGAGAGAAACTGGGTCAGCCAGACTCGAGGCAGGCCGAGTCAGGCCGAGGCTCGAGAGTCGTCCAGGCGTTTTCGGCTGGAAGCAGTCCCTTGGAAACCACCCCGAAGCCCGTCGTCGCTTCCACCACGGTCTACCGTCGTTCCATCCACGAGTCCTTGCACCGTTAGGACCGATTCCATCCCCTGTTGAGCGAGAGTGAGCGAGACGAGCGAGGATCAACCCCCTTCGAGGTGATACCAACGAATTGGTGAGTGATTATATTTGGATAGGTTTAGTTGCAACCCCTCTTTCTCTTTCTCTCTCTCTCTCTCTTTCTCGTTCTTTCTTTCTCCCTCTGTCATCTTCTGTCCGTTTTCGAATAATCGAAAGGGTTTTTGAAAATTTTGAAACGATTTGGAAAAAGAATTTGGAAAGGGAGGAAAATTTAATTTTGATAAACTTGGGATATTTTTTTCGAAATCCTTTCGATTCTTTGGATAGATTTATTCTTTGTCGCTTTCACGCATTCCTCATTCTCGCTTCATTCCCGCTGATGGCATTGAGGAACTTTTGGGCACATGGACGTTTTGGATCGATTCGTTTTCATATTAGTTTTTGCATTTAACTTTTAACTCCATTGTACGAGATATCGAATGATAATAAACAATGCTTTCAAGATTTCTTCCTTATTTTTTTTTTTTTTTTAGGCTTTTTGTATATTTTTCAATACTTGATTAAAAATATTATCTTCGTCCATGGATACTAATCGTTCTCTCTAAGAATTGAAGAAAAAGCTGCACGATATTTATTATCGATAATCCGCAATATCTATCTACATTTTAATAACTCTGTTTCATCAGAGTGGTGTCTGATCTTTCTTCAGGACGATCTATCGCTTACCTTTTCACGCTCCAAGGACCGGTTCGATCGGTTCAGAGAGCAACGATATCGATATCGATTCTCGAGAATCGAAAAATCGAGAATTTTTTAAGATGTGGAACGAAATGAGAAAGAAAAGAATACAGAAATGAAAATCAACAAAATGCTCTCTGTCCATGTTTCTTTGGTCGCTCGGCCTGCCGTGTTCCTTCGGCGTTTTAACTCTCGCTTCGCAGTTGTGCAATTTCTGTCAAGCTCTTGCTGGATAATAATAATAATAAAAAAAAATAATAATAATAATAAGAAATAATAAAAGAAGCACGAAAGTTGAAAGAAGCTCGACACTGAAGCGGACACTGTTGTTGATTGTTGTAGGAACTGAGGCGAGGGGCACAAGCAGAGACATGGACAATGTGCAAATGATCGGCACTAAAATCACAGCGATCAAGGAATACTTATATGTAAGGCATTCCATCTCGCTGCACGTCATTCATCCTGTCTTTCTCTGTATCTGTTTTTGTTTCTCTTCATTTTCTTCATCGCTATGTCATCCATAAATCTTCTTTTATTTCGTTTCTTTTCTTATTGTTTTCCTCGTTAACCCTTTCGTTTCCAGACTTCAATTTAAAAATTATATAAAAAGTAAAATGCTGTATTTATCAAAAGCTTATGAAGATTATAAACAAATAATTTGGGAATGAAAGGATTAAGAAAGATGATTGCCTGAAAAAAATTTTCGAAGAAATTTTTAACTTTATAATTTATTATTCTGTATAGAATATCAGTAATAAATATTGAACCAATATTCGTCGAATTGATATGATACAAATTTACGTTGTGAATTTCAGAATTTCGCCAGGACACATTCACCAACCAGACTAATGAGCTCCGAAAACACCTACTCGCTCTCCAAAGAGCACTGTAACTTGAAATATTCGGGTGAGTACAAAGATTGCTTCTTTCAAAAATATTTTCAACATCATCCAGCATGCTTTGGACATTGTAAGACATTTAGCGTCGAAACAGCATGGAATTTTTATCAACTCATTTAAACTCTATATTTCCATCTATATATTTTACTTATTCATTAAATCTATAAATTACTCTGCAACGCACGTGAACTTTACAGCTCACAAAACAAAGCCTATTCTCCTGCACGATCGATTTTTACTTGTCCGACCACGTACGATTTATATCTACTTACCCCACTTACACCACGAATCCAAGCAAATTATCGTTCTATATCGAATCGTTTCCCTCGTGTATCTGGACTCTGAAGCGTCTCTGGCTTCCCGGGAATAAAATCCAGGAGTCACAATATTGTCCTGATTTCGCGAAGCTCGCGGCTCGGAAGGGTGCATAATAATAGAGGATTTAGAATTGGCCTGAAGAGGCTCGTAGGCGACGAGTGGCTGAGGACAGATTACACGCCGCAGAAAGGGTAGGAAGGGTTTGTTGTAGGGAATCTGTTTACGTTTTACCAACTGTAGAATAACGATAAGAGTTGCATCGATGTGCATATAAATTAGATTTAAAATATAATAAAAAAAAAAATTCGAGGTATCAGCCAAAGAATTTTGAAATTTACTTTCCAAAGTCGTGGTTGAGTATCGAATTCTCTCTTAATTTTGTTACTACTAATTTTGTTTCCAATTATTCTTAATTTTTATTCGGTTAAAATTCATGAAATGAAGAAATTGGAAAAATTAGTAAGAAAGGGAAAACGAAACGAAACGTTTCTTCAAAGGTTGGTGCAATCTTTTTCCCGCTCGTTACTATAAATTAACGCCGTAATCCCGCTTATAAATCGCTGGAACTAATTGCCACGTGTAACAACCCCTAGAAGGCGCTTTGATTAAACCTACGAATAGAGGGTTCGATGCATCTGGTGCCAAATGACGCACGAGTTCCACATAGATCCATGGAATCTGTAATTCATCCCGTTGAAATTGCATGTTCGTTGCTTACTTCTTGCGTGATTCGATTGTATACAATTTATTAACCAATTGTTGTGTGCTTTAATTTAATCGTTGCTCGAATAGAAGTATTTACTTTGGTCTTGGATCACTGGATCCATCGAAACTTTTACAATGCTTGAAAAAAAGGAGAGTCTGACAGTCTTTTTTTGGACGTTAGATTGATAGAGGTGGATTAGCCGAAGCAGAGCCCTTGGAAGCCAGGGATTTCTCTTGTCTAACCATGGGCTCAGAACGATTCACCATTCCACGCACCCTTCTTTCCCATTCGATTCTCATTCATCGTTCTCGTGATTATTGAAAAATACACTTGTCTTTTAGCAGTAATCTTCTATTTTTTTTCTTGGACAAACTTCTATCTTAAAATATTTTTAAACGAAATATTTTAAGAGGACGACGTGTCTTAAATTTTGTTAAATATTGTTGTTTGTTACATTCTTCCTTTTTATAAATTCTTATAAAAATTTTTAAGCGATGTTGTTTAAGGAAGAAAAATTCTTCCTTAAAAAAATTCAAGCGTTCCTTGTTATTCCTTAAAAGAAAGAAACGACACGAATACTGAATAGACTCTGTTTATCCATAGGATCTTCTTAATGCAATGGGAAAAGAAGGGTGGTTTACGGTATACTTATGGTTACGTCGCGACTAAAGGACAGTTCAATTTACCAAGGATTTACCACAAGCACATTGAAATGTCCCACTGTAAATATTTTTTTTTTATACCAAAGCAGAGCTGAAAAATCATCTTGAAATCTTGAATATTCCATGTTCATTCATCTTCTTCTCCGGGACAAATCTATATTTTTCAAATATTTATTATTATTTTTGCATCATTGTATTCACGCTTCTCTCTTTCTGCATTTTCGTTCAATGCGAATGTTCGACGTTTATATGCGATTGCATGGAAACTTTTCGAACAGCGAAACGAGTCATCATCAACCGACATAAGACACGAAGAAGAGGAAGACGACGAGGAAGATGAGGAAGAAGACGAAGAAGTGAGATGGTGTCATCCCACCAAACAAGTGAGAGTGTGTCAATATAGGTCTATACTTTCAATTGTTTGATGAGGTGAAATCATTCTAATTATTGACGTTTTCTGGGATGGAGAGAGCCGGCGGTAGGTCGAAGGGCACACGAAATAAAAAAAAAGGACTCTTGAATTGAAACGGTATTAGATCGATCGGTGTCGCTGTAGAAGAGATTTCACTTGATTATAACAATTAGAGAGTCATCAGTAGACAATTTAGCCTATCATTACGATCAAATTTATTTACGATCAAATTTAATATGATTGCTTGCATAACACTTGTTATCTTAACATCTTCGAAATTATAAAATTTAAGAGAAAAAAAAAAAAAAGAAAATCAAAAATTTAACGTGAGAAAAGAAGGAAGAGGTGATCGAGTCTTCTTCGTCATAATTTTGAAGATACTAAGGGAACAAACAGCGATTTGAAGGATAATCGGGTGTCTATTATTCGAATTTTGAATTTTTATTGCTCTCAGATATCCTGCCGCAGAATGCCGAAGGTTATCCAGCGACCAGGGAGTTCCTGATGAAGGTGGTGGACATTCTGTTGGATTTCATCAAGTCCACGAATGATAGAAACGCGAAAGTGCTCGATTTCCATCATCCCTCCGACATGATGCGTCTCCTGGATCTCGAAATTCCCGATTCTGGTTTGACTCTTCAGCAACTTCTCATCGATTGTTCGACCACCTTGAAGTATCAAGTCAAAACAGGTGAGTTTTACGTTTATATTTTTATTAATTAATCTACATTAAAATTTTAAAATTAAAAAAAATTGATTTTGTTATTATACATCAGAATTAAATTAATTGACGTTCCAAATTATAGAAAAAAAAAAAAAATAAAAGAAAAGTTAAGAAGAATTAAATGATGTTTCTAAATCGACGATGAAAGTTATCTGAGGGAAAAACTGGAAGGAATTCAAGGATGACGTCTAGCGGGGAATCGTTTAACACTGTACTATCGCATTTCCTTGCATTTGGGAGGGCGATAAGCCACGTAATTTCATATTCAATTTAGCATACGCGCTCTAGGGGCGGAGATAAGGTGGCTAGAGACACTTTCAGCATTTCCGCAGGCTTCAACCCCACGAAATATACACATTGCCCTCGTGCACGTGATAAATGAACGAGGGTAACTGAAATAAAAAAGCTGTGTGGTATCGGCGTACACCATTTAAATCGCTCCTTCTTTGGAACGAGAAATGAAACAGTTTTCAGTTAAAGTTTCTATCATGTTTCGTAAATAGAGAGAATAGAAAAATAAGAATTAAACCGAAAGCTAATTCTTTAAGAAATATAGATTTGAAGATCTTCAACTCTCTAATTTTATTTATTAAATCGAATTGCAAATTCTAAATTTCAAAATTCTGACTGGAAATTTTCAATAACTCTAAAAACACATAATCGTGAAATTTTGATATTGAATTGAATTTTCTAAATCCGTGAGAAAAAATTTCGAATCGCGCAGGCCATGCACGAAATGTATTAATTCGGCCATTGGTGAATTCATCGAGGCCTTCGATCGAGGAAACGCCAAAAGTCAACCGCAAATCCCCCACGAAAGTTCGCTATCTCGGCCAGGATTCGATTACCAGGTTGAATAGATGCTAATGCACAATGGAAGAGGGCTAACCGAAGTTAGGCGAGGAATCAGGCTTGTCTGGTAGCGAGAGTCGATGGTGACGATCCACCCTTGTGTATAGAAAGACGCGTGCACCGCGTATACGGACAAAAACTCGTTATTAGATTACGTGCCACGAGACATTCCCTTCTGGGGAACATAGAATCTGACCGTCATCGAAACCGTGAAAAAAGGAAGGCATCCTCCCTTCTGCTGTGGAATCGATTGATAGGAGATACGTTTGGAAAATATTTTTTTGGGGTTGCTGAATGATAAGGTGATGATAATCTTTTGAAATATAGCGTGGTAAGAGAAGAAAAGATATCTGAGGGGTTTTAACAATAGAAATTATTTATGAGAATATTTATTTGGAATATTATACTTTAAAAATATGAAATTAGGAATAAATTTGTGGAATTTTCATTATTCCGTGTTCAAAACTCATGGAAGAAATTTATATTGATTAATAGCGAGATCTTGATTAACTACGATAGAGTTGGGTATATCGATTGACTCTTGTGTTTATCTTTGTCGATACGAGGAAACTGTACAACCACGAAGATTGGAAATTTCAATGTCTGAGGAAGAACTGTACGTTTCCTTCGAAACTCGTCGATATCGGAAATAGATGCTCCAGTTGGTTCGACCTGGATTCTCACATCTAAAGAAATTTCCAATAGCACATAAGACTTGGCAAGATTACAAAAATTGAAAAAAAAAAAAAAATAGAAAGAAGAAAATCATCTTATCAAAGGACAATTTTCAATTTCCAATTTTCCATGAAAAACTTTGATTCCCGTTAGGATGCCCTCTTCTCTTTCGAATACGAGGATGAAAACTGTCGGAATCCGGAGGACGGGTAAGGGGAAAAAGCACGGGAAAGAAGAATACAAACTGTGCCCATCGAAAAACACGGTTGTAGCGTTAGCGCACGTGGCACCACTGGGCAGGGTGGTGAATTCAATAGGATCGGTGTAATTAAGAGCCATTTCTACACGATTTTCCCTCGGTGGGATCGAGGGAAATAGTAAATAGGGGCGAACGACGAATAGGGGGGGGGGGGGGTATACAGGACCGCACACCATCGGGTGAACCCTTCGTCGAGCTTTCGCCGCGGACGCACACCCATTGGAATTTAAATTGATATCGATAGCTAGCCGTGGAATGTAGAAATCGTTTCGTCACGGAACGCACAAGTTGTTACGTCATTCGATCGGCATTCTCACTATGAATGGAATTCATCGGCCGAAAATCATGGCTACCCAAATATCGTAACACCGACAACAAATGCGGAGGTATAAGAATTCTTGGCAGCGAAAGATTTTTATTCAAATTAATTAATTGTATCTGGTAATTTTCAGACTTATCCAAATATGAAGGAATAAAAATATTATCAAATTGCCGATAATAGAAATAATGAATATTACGAAAATGGAACGTGAAGTGTGTTATTAATTTTCTTCCATCGTTATTTCAGTTCAGACATTCGAAGATATTCGAAATGGTTTCTTTTTCCTGCGCGTATGATTGATTGCACGGCATTAATGTTAAGTCTGGGTTACACACTTCTCTTCATACAAATCGTAAGCCCTATAATATATTACCCTGGTCTGCGTCGAGCAGGTTCTTCCCTTTCTCTTCTCGATGCGGGGAAAGAGGGCAAATTAGTCGGAAAATGATACCCTCAGACATTGTAATTGCTCGTAAAAGCAATCCAGTGAAAGAAACAAATCGTGAAATCCATAATATCGAAGCTAAAAACAATTTACTCCCATATGTCGACTCGTAAACATGATAGAAATTTCATTGATATAAATATTTGCGAGGAATATCTTTTAACAAATTAAAAAAAGAAGCTATTAACGAATAATATTAGGAATTTAATTTAACGCAAATCCAATAATGAATGTCTTTTTATAAAATTAAATAAAAAGATGTAAATGTGAAAGAGATCGCTCTCGAAGAAAAGAAGATCACTCTCCATTAGTTTTAAGAGTTTTATCCTCTATTTTGCCATTACTTCGCGGCGATGGGAACGAGTCTAAGGGGATCTGGTTCGAAAATCCCTGCAACTCCATGCAGAATTAACATATCCTTAAATCTGCATAATACGCCAACCTGCCTGGCTTATCTCGACCCGCACGTTGCACTCTCTCGTACGTTTGTTTTTCCTATCTTCCTTCAAATTACACAAACACCCCCCCCAATTCCATCACGTGTTGTTACACCGAACTTCGTTAAATATTCTCACAATAGCGCACCAATTTTTAGAATACGTTTAGAACCTCGTCTCTAAAACATTTTGCACTTTCCAATAGAAACTTTACCAATAAGAGGATCTTCTATTTTCCCCCTTCTCTAAATTTATTCTTTACTTTGTTTCACTTAAGAAGCAAAGATTGCCGGAAACTTGTATTCTCGATTTATCTAACATGGATAATGTAAATGGGCTGCAAAACACATTCGCAACGAATGATGGCGTACAATGGATAATCTCGCCAGCTGGTCGAAACAGTTTGTTTTTCCTGAGTTCTCCTCCTGATTTGAGAGCCTCTGCAAACAATCTAGTCGCGCAGCGACGCGTGTGACGCGCAAAATGCGGGCTCCTCGGACCATCGACCCTCGGTGCTCTTGGAAAAATCAGGAGTGGGGCAGGGAAAGGGAGACGTCTTGTTGCACACCCCAGAACCGGACGCGTGCCACGATCCACGGACCAAGATAATTGCGAATAACACCGCGACAAACGGCTCCAGATACCGCTGCCCGATATCGCCTTCTGGGGTGGAGACGTTTTTTGTCCAGATATATACACTCGTCACGATGCTTTGGCCAGTGATTGAACTCTACTGTTAGAATTTCGGGAAAGAAAAAGGAGTGATAAGAAGTTTTGAATACGATTATTTGGATTATTGATCTCTTTTTGAGATAATTCAGTTTTGAGATATATATATGTTAATTTGAAAAATTAAAAGTTACGGTGCTATGTCGAACTATTTACATTTTATAAGAAATATTCCAAGATTTTTGAGTATTTTAAAGTATTTTAAAGATTGGAAAAATTTTCATTATCGAGGCTAGAAAAAAGATAAGAAACTGTGATTTCCTGATCTCAAGGAAAATTACGATCTGAAGTTGGAAATCCAGATGTTACAAGGGGAACACTTAGACCCCCAATAGGTTGGCGTCACACGTCAATCAATCACTAATACCGTGAGATTAAAATGTCCAGACACCACCCTCTCACGAAATTCTCTCACTCGCGTGTTTAGTCTTACTGGCGAGGGTATTTATCGAAAGAACGTAACGCGACTCTGGAGATTTTGCCCGGAAAACCGAATACGGCCGTTTGGTTATCAAAGGTTATCGTGCACCCGGGGGAAAAAGTCTTTTCGTGGCCGGATATTCAATGGAGTGAATCCATCAATTCTCGGGATCAAGGGATCTACGTTATTTAAGAGAATGATAGGATGTAGGCTGTAAGGGTGGGCAAAAAAATCCTGCATCATGGAAAACATAAATTTTGAGCATAAATATGGTACCCTATTGTTAAAAAAAAAACCTCTACCCTATGAATATAAATCTTTTCATTAGGTTTCTTTACGTCTTCCATATTGCACAAACATCTCTTCTCAATGTTTATAATTTACAAATTGTGATCCTCCAATTTTACTTTAATTGAGAGAAAAATATTTTTCCTTAAATAATCTGAAAAATAGAGATGTATAAAACTTTACTCACAAAGTTGACTTCTTGTCAATTCTTAATACAAAATAGATACAATACAAATTGAACAAAAAAAGGAAAAATAGCAAGGAGAAACAGCAAGTTACTCGCATGCAAGGAACAGTAGCACTTGTACCCTCCTATTCGCATCAGAAGGCAGGCTCCCATCGAACAGAAGCATTAACCCTGATCCTGGCGCGATGTTCAGCAGAGCGGATGACAACGTACTCAGCGACCGGCTTAAAGCTCTCTTCCCTCTTTCCGTCCATGTGCCTTTCGACCTCACTGCCACTGCCACGAATCTACACTGTATAATATAATTTTTGGCCACGTGCCACGTCACCGTTATTAATTACCCTACCATTAACAATCGTCTTCGAACAATCACGATTTCAAGGGAATTAGAACCTTGATTCAATGTAGGAAACGATTAATTTGAACGCGTTTCTCTTCCATAAAGAAATGATTGTTTTGCAAATCACAATCGACAATGAAAAGAAATTTGTTTCTAAAATTGTTAAAAGGTAAATTGATTCTTTTCTCCGATTTTCTTTAGGTCATCCACATTTTTTCAATCAATTGTCCTGCGGTCTGGACCTCGTCTCGATGGCCGGCGAATGGTTGACAGCGACGGCCAATACCAACATGTTCACCTACGAAATCGCGCCGGTGTTCATACTGATGGAGCACGTGGTGCTTCAGAAGATGAGAGAACTGATCGGTTGGAGCGGTGGCGACTCCATCCTTGCCCCAGGAGGTTCCATCAGTAATCTATACGCCTTTCTCGCTGCCAGGCATAAAATGTTCCCCATGTACAAAGAGCGGGGCCTCTCCGCAGTCGGTGGACAGCTGGTTATGTTCACGTCTGACCAGGTACGTTTTACTCTACTCATCGCCTTGTGCCTTGCGTATCTTATCGACATACATAACCTTCGATTCTTCTATAAAAGTGTCATCTTACTTATCTCTTGAGACACACAGTTATCGATAATGGAATTATGAAATCATTGTGAAATAAAAAGCTTGTTCTTTTCTTCTTTCCTTTGTAATTCTACGGAAAAAAAATAAACGAATAAAATGAATATTCGAAATTTTATTATTTTTGTACGAGCAGTGCCATTATTCGGTGAAATCGTGCGCCGCTGTCTGCGGATTGGGAACGGACAACTGCGTGATGGTTCCTAGCGACGATCGAGGCCGAATGATCCCTTCGAAACTGGAAGAATTAATTCTTGAACGCAAGGCCAAAGGACACATCCCATTCTTCGTGAACGCTACCGCGGGAACGACCGTCATCGGAGCATTCGATCCCATTCCAGAAATCGCTGATATATGCCAGAGACACAAGCTCTGGCTGCACATCGACGTAAGTCTCTAGAACATTGCTTAATTTTCGCCAATAATGATAAAGCGGTCAAGACAATATAATTTAATCGGCCAATGCAACGTGTAGAAAACCGAGGATGAAATGTGTTTCGAAGTTAGAAAGGGAGAACAGAGAATTCCACTTAGCTTAGACAGATTATTCAAATCGGTTCAGCGTTCGAACGATAAATGCCAAACGCCTAAGAGCCTTAACGTAAATAATAAATGTGAGAAGCGTCATCTAGCCGGCGGCCAGTGTTTCGATCGGTTAAATTAGGGGAAAATTCGGAAAATCTGGGCTTTGCTCGAAGTCAGAACTTACGAAGTCTTTGATACACGACATCTTCTTCACTTTCTTTACATTTTACAAAATATTTTCTTTTCAGGCGGCTTGGGGTGGTGGACTGCTTCTCTCGAGAAAATACAGGCATCCCCGAATGACTGGCATCGAACGGTGAGTGGAAAAAAAATATAAAATAATTCGTTTGAACTATTATTGTAAAAATACGATACATCTTTATCCTCAAACTGTTCAATCTTCTTTTTAAGATATATAGATATAGCTTTTCGATCAATCAGAAACACCTCCACACGTGTTCTATAGAGGGGTGGCTTAATCCTCGTACTTTATAGTTTATTGAGGCTTAGTTTGATGGAGTCACTCGGAAGTATACACACACGCATGCACGGATAAAATCGTGGATAAAATCGATAAAGTTTCTTCCAAGTAGATAAACTTCTTCCTGGTTCGAGAACGAAACTTAAGAAAAGTCATATTTGCATACGAATAGAGAACTGAGAGCAGAAATTGGTAGACTTAATCTGTAAATTAAATTTAGTCAATCGCGGGAACAATCATACGAAATTAACCAAACTTTAAACTCTGATTTTAGTTATACGTATGCAGAATATTAGCAATCTTTTCCCTTTATCATTATTACTCATATTTAAAGAATAGAAAAAAAAAAAACACGAAATTTTAAGAATTGACTTCATCTTCCTCCCAAAGTAAAATTGTTCGTAGATAGTCACAAAGTTTCTCGATTAACTATCCGTTTAATCTACAATAATTCGGATAAATTAATCGACGCGGAAAGAAGATACCTGCCGGCAATTTCTCGACAGTATCGTAATCCATGGAATCGAGGGGATGGATGGAAAGGAGTGACTCCTGTCCTCGACACATGCGAACTTTCGCATATAGAATCGCGGAGGCGAGTGATGTCCGACCCCTCGTGCTGCAATTGGGGGTCAGGGATAGGCCGATTCAGGGGGTGGCTCGGATGGGGTTGGCGAGATTAATCCACGATTTGCATCCGGCCGCATCTGCTCCCTTCATTCAACGCCAGACAGTCCGTGACCCGAAAAAAAGTGGCACGAGGCCTGTCGAGAAAATCATTTTCACTCGAAAAGTCATTTGAACTCGGAATAATATCGAATACTGTCGGCTTACTTTTTCATTTCGTGGAATTTATTCAGGACTTTTTGTTTAGAAAATTTTTTTCCGCAACAACGGAATATTAGCAACACGTATTCTACAAAAGATGCACGAACAATAGCTGTCATGCATATTCCTCTTTCTACGCGCGAGTAAATTATCGAGATGAATATTCCTTGTCGCGAAATGAAATTGAATGAAATTGAATCTTTGACATTTATCATTTTCGTATTGTAAATTTTTATAATAACATTCGAATCATAGAATTTCTTTCTGCCATCGTTATAAAATATTATTTTCAATTTTAAATAATCTTTCCCAATCTCTGTATTACAAATTTTCGAATTGAAATTATTTTCACGATGCTTCGAATTATTTTTACCGATACTTCATAGTGAGTAAAATTTTCAAGATTTTGGTAAGAAAAAATCCGAGCAAAAATCCTCCACGCAATTTCCTGCTTGCACAGACTGTACCCCAGAACTTCCTTCCTGTGAAGGTCTTGATTAAAATGGCAAACGAAAAATCCGAAGGACGAGCAACAGCTGGATCAGTTCCCTGGAGCGCATTTGCAGAACAGAACTCTCCTCTTTATATATCGACGGCGGCGCCGCATCGTACTGTGCCTTCCGCGGGTCTGAAATAAAAGACCGTGCCTCGACAATGCTGGATTAAACTCGTACAAAGGGAACAGTGCTTTCCTCATTCTCTCGTTGTATGTCGCTCTCTGTCCCTCTCCAACCACCCCCTTCGTTGTTCATCCCTCGAACAGAACGGCGCGGACTCGCGAAAAGGAGGAAGAGAAAGGAAAGGGAGATCGTGATTCCAGCGTCGCGACAAAGTCAGAAATGATTACGCATAAAAGGTGGTCGAGGAAGGAAGGCGAGGTCTGCAGGCGGAAGTGAAGTTGAAAGTCCTTCTCTCGATGGATTCGACAGTTTTGTCGCGTGCTTCCATGCTTTTCACGTGTATTTTTCCTTCGTATACACGCGCTTTCGTCCAAATTACACGATCCTCGATCCCCTGGAGGACGATTATAACCGATCTTTTTCGACGATCGCTGCGAGTTGTCTTTTGTAGAGAGGGGTATTCTTTTAAGATGTTCTTTCTCTCGTCTATTCTATTTCATTCTTGTCGTTTATTTGTATTTATGAAAATTGTTTGATTTTTAATGTCAGATTATCTACGCGAAGAATTATTAATTTTCTCTTCGTTCGAATTGGACGAATCTGACTGAGTTTCGATTGAAAACCAGTTTTTTTTTTCGCGCTTAGCTTTTCCGTAAGTGGTGAGGGATAATTAGCAACCCTCGTGATATATATTGCGCGGCTTTTGGGGTTGGCACCTAGGATGAATTTAAGAGTGAACAGAAGGGCGCTGCACGCGCCAGCCCCAGCTGCGAATCGCATTAATCACTCGAGCTTTATACGCACGCATTATGCACACTCTTACCGATACCTTTTTTAACTAATGGAAAATTAGAACACGTGGAGCAACACGTTCAACCTTTCAATAACAAAAATTATATAACTCATTAATTGAATCGTGAACAATGAAATATGAAAGCTAAATATGCAACTACAAAGCGTGTTTATATGTATGAGTGAAGTGATGCAAGCAGTGGAATGCAAATTGGATTGCAAATTGTGCATAAAAGTTGGAACAGCACAAGCTCGTGAAAATGGCGGTGATACAAATGATAGAACGTTACGATAAACTCGTATACGGGTGAAGAGTGACTAATGGCAAACGGCTGTCGCCGACACGAATCTCTTTTCCTGGTTGCTTCGAGTACCCTCGCATCATCCGCAGAGCAGTCGACAGACAAGTGGGGACAGTGTCGCGATATATGTGTCAGTTGCCAAGTGTCGATAACGTTTGTCACCGGACGGCCACGCTTGTCTGCACGTGCACGCCTGATTCTACTTGAGCCGAGTTAACCTCTACTTAAACGAAACAGCTGTAGCTTCTGAATAATTAACACTGAAATTTATCCATTCTATTTTTATTATCTTCTAATAGTTTTATATACACAAATATATTTCGCTTTAAAAACATTATTTTTCACCGTGGAAAGTTTTATTAATTTAAAAAATCGTATTCATATTTCATTCGTAAAAAAGTTATTCTAATGGAAAGGTGAGCGACACTTGTTGAACGTTTGTTGAGCGCATAGGAAATTAGTGTCAAATAGTACACACGGTTCTCGCGTTTTGTGCCACGGATTAAGAAGGGTTAGGAATTTTTACCGCAAGGGTGTGTCTCTTAGGAGCAGAGGGTTAAATCCAATCCCGTGGCTATATTAATAGCTCTTCTCTCGAATTGATGGACCCCCGCGCTGCGTGGAGGGAAAATAACTCATATTTTATCCCCTATTGGTCCCAGTGGGAGTGGATAAACGTTTGACGACCAGCTGAGCTACACCGCCTTTCTCAGCCACCTTCGCTCGTTCTCGATAAATCGCGGATAAAATCTGTTCCAACCTCTTCGATTCATTTATCCCTTGTTATCGAATCGAAATTTGAATCACGCTTGCAAACTTTTTTATCGCATATACTTCGACTTTGATATCTTAGAATGTTTTTCTCAATTATTCAAAATTATATCGCTGATTCCGTATACTTTAAAAAGGATTTCAAAATTTTAAGAAAAAAAATTAATAGTATTGCATAGTATTAATAAAAAAATCGTTCTTTTATATTATCAATTTCACATTCTTTCAGTAATTTTTCAACCCCTTAACGACCATATCCAATTTTGATTTGTGTCAAATAAAATAATTCGGTCCTTAAGGGGTTAATAACGATGTATACACCGACATTCTTCACAAAAAAAACGATCGTTCACAGAGCCGATTCCGTGACCTGGAACCCGCACAAACTCATGGGAGCGTTGCTTCAGTGTTCGACGATTCACTTCAAGGAGGACGTAAGTCACTTTCACATCGATCTTACTGTTCGTCTTATCGCGATTGTAAAATCGTTCCACGTGCATGTGTATCCTGGCGGACAAATCGAACATCTCGAGATCCCGTGGACGGAAATTCCTGTCTCCTGTAAGGGTGATGACACAACGGTGGCTGCATTCCGAGGGGCCGAGACCTGTACGCGTTGGAACGCGGCACTGCAGGAATTTAATTAAACTAAGAGATAACATATGTTGCCGACCGTACCACCATCGCGGCTCGCAGGAGGGTTTATTCGCCCCACACGCCTGCGTGGTTATATTGCCGACTCAGAACTTCCCCCTCGGATATTAAAATTCCGTGCACCGGCTGCCGCGGAACGTTTCGAACGAGGGAAGTTCTTTCCTTATTCTTAATATGTTATCGTTACGTTTCGATCGTTAAGATCGGTTGGTTAAGAAATTGTTGCAAATTGGAGATTTGTGGGCACGATTCAAGTACCGGAAATGTTAAAAAATTTTGATGAATTTTACGTTCGAATTATTCAAAATTAGAAAAAAACGTGCAAGTGTCTTTGCTGATTTTGAATTAACAATTGAGATTTTTTGAACATTTTTTTTTTAATTTCTCTATAGATCCTTTCATTAATTACACATTTTTATATATCACTTGCATTGCAATCGTATATTGTATATACACATAATATTATAGTTTGATAATTCCAATATTAAGAGAGGCAATACTTTTGACGATCTCTTAAATTTGTGCACATTTTTAAGCGTAATTTTCCTATCTGTTACACAAAGTAGAATCCCTTTCACTGCAATATTTTTCTCATTACGTGAAAATGGAACAAAGGATGGAAGAAAGGACGTTCGATTTACGAGGCCATTCAACGAGTATCGAAATCGCGGAATCATGAGGTAGAATGGCGACCTGTAGGGTGGCAGGATACCAGTCGCCATTTTGTAAATTCAATATCCCTCAGTTTCCCTCTTCCTGCGCATGAGTTCCCATATCGACCCGGGACCCGTTTGTTCCTTCTCGCGCCTGTCAATTAGAAAGTTTCTCAAACATGGCTCGAAACGTGTCCGCGCTCATTGTGTCCTGTAAAATGGGCTGGAAAAACTGGGAAACCGAACAACAGACGAGACTATCCCCATCTCGCCTCCTCGATGCATTCGCCTCTTTATTTTCCAGGGTTTGCTGATTAGCTGCAACCAAATGTCAGCCGAGTATTTGTTCATGACAGACAAACTGTACGACGTGAAGTACGATACCGGCGATAAAGTGATTCAATGCGGACGTCATAATGACATCTTCAAACTTTGGTTGCAATGGCGAGCCAAGGTAAATAGCATAGATCGAAGAGGAATTATGCTCGATTTCTGAAAACGAAACATGATAAAAATAAATTTTTTCGCGAAGAAGATTGGATTAAGAAAATAATTTCGATATATTTTATTAGATAAACGGTTAAAATTACGGTTTAATTTAATGGAAACGAAACGTGATAAAAATAGAAGGAAAAAAGGGGGGTATTACAGATTGCAGAGATAGGAATTCTTTTTGATGTATAGGGTACAGAAGGATTCGGGAAACACATGGATCGACTGATGGAACTTTCGGAATACATGGTCAGAAGGATCAAGCAGATGCCTGACAAGTATTACCTAATCCTAGAACCTGAAATGGTGAACGTCTGCTTCTGGTATTTGCCAACACGCGTTAGGAACATGCCACATACTCAGGAGAGAATCAAAATCTTAGCAGATGTGAGATTAAATCCTAACTCTTTTAATTCTCTACATTTTCTAAACTCTTTTACAAATGATAATATCTTTAAACCATGTGCATTTCAACTTTTAAACTTTTCAATTACGAATTCCAATATTCTGATTAATTTGACCAAGCTCTAAGTATTTCTTGTGAATAATATAACACTCGCAGATCTCTTCTTTATCACTGATTTGCATAATAATAGCAATTAGCAAACAGTGGAAGAAGCAACAGAAGAAAACAATCTGTTCACAGATCTGTCCAATCTTGAAAGGCCGAATGATGCAAGCTGGCACACTGATGGTAGGTTACCAGCCGGACGATCGACGACCCAATTTCTTCAGAAATATTATCTCGAGTGCCGCGGTCACGGAAGCGGACGTCGACTTTCTGCTGGCGGAAATGGATCGGTTAGGCCACGATCTGTAAGAAACCTGCCTGTTCTAATTAATACATACATAATCAGCCGAGGAGGCGCGATTTAATGTAAATCGCGACACCATATCGAAAGTGAAATATTCCTGTTGATATTAGAAGTTCATTAACGAGCAGGAGTTTAACCGCGTTTCATCACGTGTACAAAATCCGGAGGTCAAATTCGAGAATCGCAATCACGGTTGATAATTCAAGCACCTCGTGTACCTGCTCTCTTCTCTTTCTATTAATGGAAACTTTCTTATAAATCGATATCGTTTGATCAATGATAATTTACTTTTATTAACCATGAGAAATGAAAATCAAAAATTAATTTGTTTTTCATTATCGATGGAGATTATTATAATTTGCCACGATATTTAATCCGTAATCGAAATTGAGGAGAGAAGGGAGTAGGTCGCGTGATCATCATCGTAGCACGAGAAAAAAAAAAAAGAAGAAAAAAAGGAAACGCTTCTTCAGCATATTTACGAAACAGCAAACCGAAGATCAAAGGATACTCATAGCACGTAAGTTCTCTAGATGTAAGCGTATATCCGTGACGAAACGAAAGAGTCAAGTTAAAAAAAAAAGCTCTAGCGATGCTTCCGGCCGTAAATGTTACTAGTTCTCATTCTCAGCGCTATAAGTACTTTCTTAGAGGGTGAAGGAAGGAGACGAAGGAATAGCAACGATGTTTTTTCATCGTAAAATGAAGCAATAGTAAAGTATAGATATATCGCGCTTATAGTCAACGATTCGGTCCCTTCTTTTTTTTAAATCAATAATTTCATTTCTCGCCCGAAGATATATGCATACCAATGCACACGTTCCGTTTCGTTCGATTATTCTTGCAGAATTTGCAGAGATGTAGTCGAAATTCGATCTCGATCGAACAATTAGATTTACGCAAGCTGGCGCAAGGACAATATAAGCGAATAAAAATTAAAAAGGGAACTCTTGAAATTGAAATGAATAAAAAAAGAATTCGTTCGAATAGAACGAGATAGAATGTACAAAATATTTTTACTTGGAACGAAGTACTTATATAGAAGAAATATAAAGATGAAATAAGAAATATCACGATTAAAAAAACGATAGCTTTAATTTTCTCTGTTTAGATAGTTACAATACAATTTTGCTCGTTAATTCGTTGAGATGATTATTGAAATGAATTTGTTATTTATTGATCGTTTGCAAAGCTGATGAAAGAAGTATGGCCTGCATCCATTATTATACAAATGTACGTATGTTATTATTTATTATCGAAGAGTTTCACCAAAACAGAGAATAATATTTATTAATATACGTATAGAAAATTTGGGAGAAAAAAGAAGTATAAATATAACGTTAAAACAAAAAAAAAAAAAAGGTATAATTATATGAAGAACAAAGCGTATATTATATACATATATAAATAAATATATATATATATAAATATATATTTAGCGTTGAGATTTTAAAATACAAAACACAAACCCATGAAAGTACATGCTTTTTCAAGTATTCGTGCGAACGGTTGTCATTTAGTTCGTCGATTACCTTTATATACAATTGGAAACTGATCTTATTATATAGTTGGTGAAGTCTTCTTAGAAATTAGTTTTCGTAGTTTATCGAAACGCGTTTACGTCTTTCACGCGACACGTCTTTTTAGAGGAATTCTATTCGATCGTTCGTTAGCCCATCACTTCTCACATATTGATTCGTTTCATTGATTGAAAATAAAATAAACTATTAATCGTAGATTGTTTCTTTTTTTTTTAAATGGGACGAATAAAAATATTTACGATAATTTTGCTCCTGTGAGAAAAAAACGACGAAAAAAATCTCAATCTGTTCGACAAAGAGAATAAAAGGCAACACTTAAGAACCGAATGAATTCTATATAGATTTTTCGATTCACTCGCCATTGAGGTAAAGAATGAAGATTACTTTAAATGTAAGTAAATACAAATTATCTAGGTATATATTTAAGAAAGGATACCTAAATGTATTTATTGTATTAAATCTACGAATTTACTTAACGCTTTCTTTTCCCGTCGATACTTACCGAGCCGATAGGTCGATAGATATTCACGAGAAATCACAAAAACGAACGAACGAAATATGAGAAAGCGTAAGAAAACATGAAATATCTAGAGAACGTGTTAAGGGAGGCAAAGGATCGATGCAATATTGTTTAATTGATAGAATCGATATTTGTGTCAATCTTTAATGATCAATCTTAACGATACATCGATTTAAGATTGACGAAAGAGGGGCGAATTGTTTGTTCGAATTATTATGGAACGAGATCACGATGCATTAGACAGTACTATAGGCTGGCAAAGGGTATGTATTTTTAAAAGAAAAAAAGAAGAAAAGAAAAATATGAAATGAAAGAGTAAGAAACAACCATTCATCTGACCATGATTACCGATACCTGCAGAAGAGACACTTTATCGTTGTTGTTAATTGTCTACAATTTTATCGGCGTTATACATTTTTTTAACCACCAGTCGTTGATATTGCCGACTGAATGGCTGATTTTACTTCGATGAATTCACTCTTGTATTTTATCGTAATTACAAAAAAAAAAAAATGAGAATATAACGTCATGCACACATATACATACACACGTACACCAAAGATTTACGGGGAGGGGGAAAAAAAATAATATATTTGTACAGGCAATGAATTTATCTAAGTAGAAATCTCGAGTCTTTAATCCGCATACAAATACACGTACACTTGGCAAACTTAGGAATTTCACATCGTTGTGAATGTAAATGTAAGAGGTATATCGCCATATCAGTGCCGTTAATTAACTACGATTTTGTATATTCTTGTGCCCATTTCCTCCATCTACTCATGAAGAATCGAAAATTTGTAAATAAGAAAATATATAGAATATGTTCGCCATTTTATTGACGTGAGAATTATTTGAGATTTAAAATGTGTAATTAAAGTGTTATATTCTATTCTTGTGACATTGTTATTGCATACTTTACGCTGTTATAAACTATTGTTACACATTGTATTGTAATTTAATACGTTGTTGCACATATATATGCACTTTAGTTCCTATGCACTAGTAGCGAGATATGCACGTTGCACTCTTCGATGCACCTAATTAAAATTATTTTTTTTTTTTAATTTTCAAACTAGAGCACCAAACTAGACGAAATCGGCACAAGTATAATTAACGTTGGTCAATTCCTTTTCTTGTGATTTATCAAATTGATCCAGGGCTTATCAACCCTGACCTCGTTATCGTTAATTATTAGTCTTAAGTTGAAGCAACAACAAAGTCCGACGTCTTCCAAAATGAAAAAGAAGAGAAAGAGAGAGAGAGAGAGAGAGAGAGAGAAGAGAAATCAGAGCAGCTATCCTTATATTATAAAATTGTATGTAATTAAGCAAAGAAAAAAAAGAAGAAAACGAGAGTACATTTATATATATATATATAAATAGATGAGAAGATAATTATATATAAATAAATATATATATACATGTATGTACACGTGTGAGCAAAACTCTCCTTGACGACAAGATGAGCGAAAGAATATGGACTATGTAAAGATCTATGCGACGTTATAGCGATGATCGCTGACACGTCGTGATTCTGACAAGTATCATCTAATTGACCCTATTATCCACTGTATATCAATGTCTAATAAACTGCTGTTATCCCAAATTGTCAATAAGTGTTACGTGTTATTGTTATATCCTATCATCAATACGTATTTGAAACAATCACCGCAAATTTATAACCCATTAAAATTGATGTATTATTTGAAAATATAATTAAACATATTGGGAATATTATATCGTTTCGCCTAAATAATGAAATATACGGATAGACGAAATATTTTGAAAAGATAAAATGAAACAGTGATTAGACACGTGGTATAATTAATTCGTCGATATTGAAAGTTTCTAATAAAATGACAAAAAAAGAGAAACAAGATGGAAGGAATTAGGAACCAGTTAAACCAGAGGCTCGTTTATAAACAGATGAATAAATTATCTCATAGTGGCTAGTCGACCTTGACAAGCCTCTACCATTATCATATATAATACATATACGAAAGTTTTAAAGCAGTGATTTTACTCAGTTGCGTGAAATAAGCGTGATCATGAAGTCTTTTGTGGAATATTCTTCAGATTGTGATTTTCCAATTGAAAATCTTCCTTATGGTGTTTTTTCTACAAAAAATAATGTAAGTAATATCATATACGAAAACTATACATGTAATATGAAATAAAAAAAAAGGAATATCGAATTGTAACATTATTCGTGGAAAGTTATAGGTTATGTAAATTTTAAAAAAATATTTTTTATTGTGATCATTTGATATAGTATAATAACGATAGTGAAAAATAGCAATAACTAATATAGTACGCGATAGATTTTAAAAATAATTTTTTCGGCGTAACTAAAATATTTTTAGCTTATTGTCAGTAAAGCGCCATCTAGTGTTTGGAATAATAAGAATAGACTATAAAGATGCGAATATTCTAATCAATTTCAAAATTAATCATCTGAAATGATAAAAAAAATCGTTTGATATTATAATATTTTGATAAATAAATTATCATCGATATTTTTAATTAATTTTTTTAAATTGAATTTACCAATAATACCTACTGTCAAACCACATTATCGAATGTTGGTAACATACTGTATTAAGATAAATTTCAAATCTTTTTCAGCCACAAAAAAGAATAGGAGTAGCAATAGGCGAGGAAATTTTAGATCTATCTGCTATTGCGCATCTATTCGATGGACCATTATTAAAAAACAAGCAAGATGTATTTCGTCGTGATTATCTCAACGATTTTATGGCCTTGGGAAGATCCGCTTGGATAGAAGCCAGGAACAAACTTCAAGACTTGTTATCAATCAGTAATCCAACCTTGCAGGAATCTAATATTCGTTCAAAGTAAAATAAGAATTGCATTAAAAATGAAGAATAACAAAATATATTTTATACGGTTATTCTACTTTACAGTGCCTTTGTAAAACAAGATGAAGCAATAATGCATCTACCAGCAAAAATTGGTGACTACACAGATTTTTATTCCTCGATTTACCACGCCACAAATGTGGGCATCATGTTCCGTGGAAAAGAAAATGCTCTGATGCCAAATTGGTAATTATTTGGCCTTAAATTAATCGCATTGAATAATAATGATTATGAACATCCATAGGAAACATTTACCAGTTGCTTATCATGGAAGAGCGAGTTCAGTCGTCGTTTCTGGAACACCGATAAGAAGACCTCGAGGTCAAACAGTTCCGATAGAAGATGCAGACCCAGTTTTTGGTCCTTCAAGATTAGTAGACTTTGAATTGGAAGTAGCTATCTTTGTCGGAGGACCACCTACAAATTTAGGTGACGCTGTTCCAGCATCTGAAGCTTACAAGCACATTTTTGGAATGGTTACCATGAACGATTGGAGTGGTAAATTTGACGCAACTAATAATAAATAACAAAAAAAAAAAGTACTTGATCATTTGAAAAAAAAATTACAGCAAGAGACATTCAAAAATGGGAATACATTCCATTGGGACCTTTCGGTGCAAAAAATTTTGGAACCACCATTTCTCCATGGATAGTTACTATGGAAGCTTTAGAGCCTTTCAAAGTATCCAATGTGCATCAAGATCCAACTCCATTCCCCTATTTACAACATAATGAATCTTGTAACTTTGATATTAAATTAGAAGTTGACATTAAATGTGAGCATTTCGTTAAAAAAAAAACTATTATTTGGAAAAACAAAAAAAAAAGAAATTGTGTCATGTCTTTTTTATTATTTTTTTCTAGCTCCAAACGGTACCGTTACAACCGTCTGTCGCAGTAACTATAAATTCCAATACTGGACACCCCAACAACAATTAGCTCACCACACCGTAACCGGATGTAATATCAATCCAGGTGATTTAATGGCTTCCGGTACGATAAGTGGCGAGGTGTGTCTCTAAAATTTTGCCCATTACCTTTTCATTTAAATCGTCGATATCCAGATGGTAAAAACGTAACTTCGAATCTTGTTGCACGTTTCAGGCTGCTGATTCTTTTGGCTCCATGCTTGAGCTCTGTTGGAAAGGCACTCGACCCATACGGTTAAAAGATGGAACCAGCCGGAAGTTCCTGCAAGATGATGACGAAGTGATTATTCGCGGTATGCTCGCTTTTTTTTCGTTTGAATAATTTAAGTTGTATATAGCCACGAGATTATCGACAATGGAGCATTGTTTTACAGGTTATTGTGTCGGTGATGGGTACAGAATTGGATTTGGATCGTGTTCGGGGAAATTGTTACCTGCTCTTATGCAATGATTTTTTTAATGTATTAAATTTCCGATACTTTGGAAGTTAATTTGAAAACTACTTATTATTTTCACTTTTGTATATTGTATGCACTTATGAATAAAATAGGTAGTAAATAAAAAGTTATGTATGTATTATATTAATATATGTATAATATTATTGTTGGAATGTGTGATGGAAAAATAAATTCGATTGGTATGAGTGAAAATTATGTTAACAACGTTGCGATGGAACATACTATGATATAAAATAACTGGAATATCGATCCGCAAAAATAACGAATTCGATCAATAAAGACAGCAGTACAGGTGCAGGTTGAACGAAAGTATCAACGAAACATGGCTGGTATGCTGTTAAAGTGAGTAAAATCCGATGAGATTTCGTTTACTTAACAGTTTTTATTCGTAGATAAATAAAATAATGCACGAAAAGTCGTTTTTCGCACCTTTTTTCACTTGAAGAAACGTCATATCTATCATACAATTGACATATTACGTAATATGTATTAAAGGGGTCAGAAATCAGATCAATAATGGGAATGATATAGCACTGTAATATTCTGATCAGTAAACTGGAACTATATACTATTTACCTTGACATAATTAATTTTCTTCGGTAATTTAATTTCTAATTTTATGAACAGTCATACATTTCAAACTACAGTCGTAATACTTCATTAAATTATGTTCTTAAATTCCAATAAATTTTATGATATCTAATTCAAAACTATATATATTTTTAATAATATGCAAACATATGATAAATTATCATATTGTAATAAAAGTTTTTTAAAAAAAAACTATTTTTTATTTTACAGATAAAAAGATATAATTTTTTTGTATTTTAAATAATTTTAAATGATGTTTTGAATGACCTTAATATGATTTTAAATAACCTTGAAATACAACCTTGAACAAAAAAATTTTTTAGAAGTTTGCACACTTTGGAAGCGTTAGACGAACCAACGGCAAAATGGAACGTCCCTTTAAACGATGGAAATCATGTAATAGAATTCGAACATGGTACAGCGACAGGTCGTCGACTGGTAAGAATAGATGGGAAAGAAATATTCCACAGAGATTGGATGTTCAATCTAGTTGGAGACGAAGTTTTCATGTTCAATGGTAATAAATTCGTAATTAGAATCGATCCAATTCCTGGTAAGTCCTTTTACATTAATTACACATCAATATCATTCAATTAAGCGATCTTACTCCTTAAATAAATTGCAGGTTTAAAATATTCTTACACATTATGGGTGAATGGCAAAACTTATAAAAATTTTGTGAGATCGCAGTCAAAAATTTTGGAAACTTGGTTGGCTAAAGTTAAGAATGAAGAATACAGAATAGTGTTAGGTAATAATACTTCCTCTTCTCGACAATGAAAAAGATTAATAAGAAATAATAATATACGTTTTATAGATAAGCAAACGCAGAACGTTTGGGTTAATAGAGAACAGATCGAAACAGAGGTAAAAAAAAAAAAACAAAAAAAATGATTTCTCTTATAATTAAAATAAATTATAATTAAAATTGTTTACTTTATTTATTTACTTGTTTACTTAGAATGAATTTACCGACGATGGCGCAGAAATTCTATTCTCGATAGGGGATATTCCAGCAACAATTAGAACTTACAGTTCTGGACAAAAAGACATTGGAATAATATATTCTTTGTACATCGATGACATAGAGATCGAAAAAGAAGCTCTTCTAACAGAAGATGAAGAAATATAGCCCGATACATGATGAATTAATTTCATAATTATGTTTTTATTGTTTCTTTCACGTACCATAAGAATTTATTACACTTTGTACATAACATACAACGAATCGCTACGCAATAAAATGATTTAATTAATTGTGAATTAAACTTTGCAATTAAAATCTTGAACACAGCAAAAGAAGAAAGTTAGAGTTCCATTCAGATCGCAAAAAATAAAAATTCTAACCCTAATTCTATTTTCATCCCAGACTTTTTCCCCGAATTTCTTTAAATCGAATCATTAATCACAATGTCTCTATCAATACGAGAGAGTATAATCAGTATCGGATCTCGAATGCTCCAAAGACACATAGAGGAAGACATACATTACGATAGTGCGTTACAATCAAATATCATGGACCGTAAAGAGTTCCCAATTTTAATCTTAATTTAATTTAATCTTCGATCGTTACAGTAATGACCATCGACGAGTTGCAGGAGATGCAAGAAAATCTGTTGCAGCAAATCTGGATGTTGACTTTAGAGAACGATATTTACGAACGATACTTGACACGCCAGGATCCCCACAGTCTAAAAGGTAAAGAGTGATTACTCCTCCTGAACAAATATTAAACCGAAATTAAATCGATCTCGCATCTAAAAAAATTCACGAAACGATAAAAATTTTTATCAAGTGATAAAGGCTATACTGGAGAGAGAGAAGATCACTCGAAGAATGACAGCGCACTTGATACCAAGAGCATTATCGCATGTAAGCTTTCGGGAGAGTTTATTCAATTTACACGATCCGGGAAGGCTAAGTCCCACCGTGCGCAGTATATCTGGTTCCCGATCACCATCCATAACACGATTTAGAACGCCAAGTGTCGTAACGTTGACCGAAGGAGCAAAGTTAGAAAATTTGTTCAAACAACATCGCTTCTTCTATCTCTTCATTACTTCATTATTTCACGATCATCAGAATCCCGATACCGCATCGTATAGTAATGGCGAAGAAGGAAGTGGAGGAATTGAAGAAGAAATTGGAACTTTTTCAAAACTATGTGAGAAAGCGGAAAATGGACTTGAAGGCTCACATAGACGAGATCGAAATACGGATCAGTGAGATCCAAGAGGCGAAGGAGGATTTCGAAGTGGAAGTGGTTACGGAAGGCGTGGATCGATTGACGGGCAAGATACCTGCCGAACGATTGATCAGGTGATTGCGCGTGTGATCGGAACGTTGCAACGTGTTGCGAATGCGTTTTTTTTTACGCGTGGGATCTCGCGAAGATTCATCGAGGAATGGCTGAAATCGGCGAGCACGATACTGGAGAGGCTGAGATTGAAGACGGCCACTGTAAAGCTTCAGATCAAAAGGGCCAGACTGCAGCTTGCACAGAGGAAAGAGCTCGGCGAGATACTTCACGTCATCGATTTCGAGAAATTGAAGATCGAGAATCAGGATTTCGCAAAGTTGCTCGAGGCGAAGAATCTTTATGTGATCGATATGAAGAAGATCGCAGGTGATTAATCGGGGGAGAGAGATCTGTTACGAGATCTGTTGAGTATGTACATTTTGTGTTCGTAACAGGTTACTACCATTTGAAATTGACGCAACACAAGCAGAAACTGAACGATCTGTCGGTGAAATTGAGGCAGTTGAAGGAGGAGACCATGTTGAAACAGAAACAGATCGAGGAGATAAATATCGAGTATGATATTTTCTCGAACAAAGTGAAACGACAACAAAAGAAATTGACGCAATTGTTGAATTTCACGGAGAATCATACTGTAAAAATTTATATAATCTTATTTTTCCTTTCGATAAAATACAAATAGGTTGATAGAATTACATGTGAGGATTACAATATAATTTTTTTTTTTTTAGGCACCTGATATTTTAGACTTTATCAAACTTCAAGAAGAATACTCTGAATTAGAGAAATCTTATAAATTATTACAAAGACGTAGGAATATAGAAAAGATAATATTCGAAGAATATAAGAAGCAAACAATATTGAAGAAAAATTAAAAAAAGAGCCAAAAAGTAAACTTATTTAGAACGTTTATCTAATTTTTCTATCATTGTGGTCTCTAAAATCCACTATTCGAACGCAAAACGTTTTTTTGCCAATAGAGATTGTAATTATATCTGTAAAAGAATTACGACGGTCTAGTACCGTCACTGATTACGCCACCGGATAATTGGAGTTACGGTGCTTGTTTAGAAGACGAAGGAAGCTTGAAACGATCGTCCACTTTCCATGATAGTAATACTTTCCATAAAACACGAAAATGATTCGATATTCGAAAAAGATTTTTTTTAGACACAACGACGATTTAATAATTTTATTTTTTGATCCAGAAATTCAATTTTTTATATTTGCCGCCAATGGTAAAATCTTTTAACATTTTAACAACACTTGCAAAACTTTTGCAATAAAAAATTTTATCAAAATAAATTTTATTAAAATAATTCGCGATTAAGATAAAAGTTATTATTTCTTATGGGATGGATTCACAATTTTTGAACGCCATTGTTGAAACGATCATCAATAATTTCATTCAATTCACTTTTTCACAAAAGTCCCTCGTTAGAAACTCTTGTTTCGGTTCTCTGATTTTTTTTTTTTTTTTTTCTTACAAAAGAATCGAAGTCTCCCATCCATTTCCCATTTCCATGAATTGCATTCATGCATTGTTGTAAACGCATTAAGAAACTAAAATCGGGTTGAAGATGGGAGGATTTTGGCGTGTGCCACGGTATGTTGGATGGTCACGCTTCACGCACTGACGATGCCTGTCCCTTCCTCTTTTCGCCCGTGGAATATCCGTCCCGGAAGACCATGTCTCTCTTTCTGAATCTGGTGATTCAGTTTCGCGACGACAACATCGACGTACCGATTGTTCGATCAACTGCTGATCGAACTGGTGAACAGTATTTACCGATATTTTTTCTCCGAAAAATTTGAATAATTTTTTATTTGAAAGAAGAGTTGAAGATATCTTCATCGAACTTATACATATATATGTGAGACGATATAAAAAATTACAATTTATCAAATCAAAAGTTTTTAGTTATAAAAGGAAGTGAAAACTAGATTTTATGTGTTAACGGATCATTGTGAAAAGAAAATTTATATTTCTTTTTCGTCAATCTTGTTTAAAGAATAATTTAAAAAAAAAAAATAAAAAAGTAGACCCGTTATTGAAATGACAAGAATAATATGCTCAGTAGTGCATGAAGAATCGATTGGTCAACATCCTGACTTTCTAATTGTATTTCATTTCCCGTGAGAATGAAAAACGATTTCCAGAGTTATCCACGGTTTTTTCTATCTATTTGATTGATTTTTGGTTTCATTCCAAATGATGATAAAAATGATGATCGTAAGAAAATTAATCGGTATCTTGATCGTTTGCTCTCTTATGCAAGGAAGCCTCAACAAATATTTAGAGGTAAGGAAATATAATATCAATTCAATGTTTTCTACTTCATTGTCGTTCATAAATCACATTAACGGTATTTGGAGATGATACACTTTGATAAAAGCTTGCCTACTTGACACGGTTGGAAGAAGGCTCATTATATCCCTCAAGGATATTAGGCCGAATTCGTATTTAAAATTCTAATTAGTCATGCATCACATAATACCATTATCTAGGCCAGTAGGAATGATTTTCACGCTTAACAAATAGTGTTGCACAATTTTATTACATTGTTGTTTGGATATATGAAATAGAATGATCGAACATATTAAAATCCCTTTCATCTTTCTTTGAATTCAATTCAGGGTATGAACGTGAATTTAGGGGATGCTTTGCAGTTTCTTAGAGAATATGACAATGAAGCTTCTGCGATGTGTACGAGAGTAATAACAGCGCAATGGAATTTTGCGACGAACGTCACTGAAGAGAATCGTCGAAGAATGGTATTAAACTATTAAATACAAAATAAAAACTTATAATTTTATATTATATATTAAATTTATATTATATTCTAATAAAAACTATTCTATCATAGATAGAGGAACAATCATTGAAGTTGAAATTTGACCGAATTTCATGGAGAAAGGCCGTAAGTTTTGCTTGGAGTCGAATAGGAGATCCGTTCGCTCAAAGGGAACTCAAAATGATTGCTATAAAAGGACGAAACTCTTTGACCGATGATAAATTTAACGAGGTAAATATTAAGATATGATTATGATAGTCAATTGAAAGATTAAAAAAATGGTTTCAGTTACACAATCTTATATTGGAAATGAAGGAAATATACGCGAGAACACGAGTGTGTCCTTACAGAGCTATAGAAGCAAATTGCGATTTAAGTTTGGATCACGGTTAGTTTCTACATCAAGTCTACATGAAATAAAGATCAATCGATTTAAAAATATCAAATAATTGTATTCATATTTTTTTAGATGTGAATAAGGCAATGGCAAAATCGAAAAACTATGATGAATTATTATATTATTGGCACGCTTGGCACGAAGCCACTGGACCTCAATTAAAGAACAAATATATAAGATATGTTCAGTTAGCAAATCAAGCTGCTAGATTAAATGGTGATAGAATAGATTTATATTTAAACGCGTAAATATAAATATTTTTCTAAAAACTTTCCCTTTTTAAAAATATCTTTCGATCTAGGATTTCAGGATGCTGGTGATCAAATGAGAGAATTTTTCGAAGAAGAATATTTCCAACAGAACACAGCGGATGTAATGTCGGCGATTATGCATTTGTATAAAAATCTCTTCACTTATGTGAGGACAAAATTATTCGAACGATACGGGGACAAGGTGAGAAGGGATGGACCACTTCCGGCGCATATCTTGGGGAACATGTGGGCGCAAAATTGGGAAGAACTTTACGATCTGGTGCAACCGTTTCCGGCAAGTAAGAAGCTTGATGTCACTTTGGAGATGATGATTCAAAGTTTCACATCTTTAAGGTAATAAATTATTCACACATCTGAATGATATTTAAATCTATCATTAATTGATATTCAAAAAAAAAAAAAAAAATTAAACAAGCGATTGAAAAATATTGAAGGATGTTCCAAATAGCAGAGGAATTTTTTACTTCACTCGGTATGAAACCGATGCCTCCTGAATTCTGGAGATTCTCCTTGTTTGAGAAACCTATCGACAGAGACGTAAAGTGTTCTCCTAGTGCTTGGGATTTTTGCAATAGAATCGATTACAGGTATTTACTACTACTAATTGATATATTACAATTTTATTTAATGAAATTTAATGAAATATTTATTTAGGATAAAGCAATGTACGAGAGTCACGATGGAAGATTTACTATCGGCTCATCACGAAATCGCTCGATTACAATATTATTTGCAGTATCGGGATCAACCATTATTATTTAGGAACGAGGCAATTCCAGGTAACGAGAAACATTATTGGTCTAATAATGAAAATTCAATGACTGGATGAATATTAATAATTTCACGACTGTAAATTAGGATTTTTCGAAGCAGTCAGCGATGCAATCGAACTCTCAGTGTTCACGCCTCAACATTTAAGTAAACTCGAATTACACGACAATACTACGGATGATTATGGAAGTGATATCAATTTCTTAATGCTAATGGCGCTTCGTAAAATTGCCTACATGCCATTTGCTTACATAGTCGATGAGGTTTCGCAATATTTTATTTACAAATACGATATCTTTATTGAAATCAAAATATAAAATTTGTATTTGTATTATGTTAAAAGTGGAGGTGGTATGTGTTCAACGAGGGTGTTGCGGATATGACGAACAAATGGTGGGAGTTAAGATTGCAATACCAAGGAATTGTTCCTCCAGTGCCACGATCTGAAAGAGATTTCGATCCTGGTTCAAAGTATCACGTACCAGCTGATGCTCTTTACGCCAAGTATTCAATTTTTATTGCAGTTATAATGCAATTTAATAAATTCCAATTATTGATAACATTTTATTTTTAGATATTTTGTTGGTGTTGTTTTGCAATTTCAATTGTTCGAATCTTTATGTGAAATAGCAGGTCACACTGGTGATCTACATACTTGTGATTTTTACAGATCACGAGAAGCTGGAAGATTATTATCGTGGGTGATAAATTGTTATCATGTGACGATAGATAAAATTAAAAAAATATATCTTATTTTTTTTATTTTTTTAGTGATGTATTGTCGATGGGTTCATCTAAACCTTGGAAAGATGTTGTGCGTCAAATGACAAGGGGAAAAACAAACAGAATGGATGCTGGAGCTATATTAAGATATTTCGAGCCCTTAAATCAATGGTTGAAACGACAGAATGAAATGGAACCGGTTGTCGGTTGGATTACAAATCGCGACGACACAGGTAAATATAAAAATAATAAAAATTCTATACTATAGATACTATATTCTATAAAATATGTTAATTATAAAAATATTTATAACATATTGTTATAAATATATTTATAACATATTGCAGTTATAATCTATAATTTATTTCAGCGTTATTTTTTCACTGGTACCAAAATGGCGCTCGAAAAATCACTTCGCAATTATTTCTTCCACTGGTTTTAATTATTGCGCAAGTTTTAATGTGTTAGCAAATAAATACAGGTTAAAATATCATTGTACATATAAAAAAAATTATGTAAATATCTTATGAAACCTTTAAAACAAAGTTTATGCAATCAAAGATAACTATATTTTGTGTATATGTACCAGCAATTGATGCCAAAAATCAGCATATTTATATGTTATATTAAAATGTTCCCATAATGTTTTGTATTGTAAATTTATTTATAAATATTCTGAATCAATCTTATTGCTGTTAAAAATAATAACCAACAGTTGTTTATGAAGTTCCCTGACAAAATATCTATATCTTAGCAAACATGGCGATCACTTATATATTAACGATGCGTAGCTCGGTAGATGGCTCAGCTGTCGGTGATTATGTTCTGATCATCAAACAGTCTTTTACAATATACGACATAGAAAACATGTGAGTTTTTTTTGCTAATATATTTACGTAATTTTTATTAATAACAACGTAAGTCAACGCCGCCAGAACATAAAAATCATCCGGTAAGTTGTTCTTCTGTCCAATTTATCTGTGTAAAATATGCGAATCGAAAGAATCAACATTATAATCATCTCGCAGCACGAACAACAGGATTTTGTTGGTTAGAAATATCAATACTCATCTTTGAAAAATGGATGTGATTTTTTGCCGGGGCATGAGATTTGCATCTTCTTTAGGATTTACTCCCATACTGGCGACGAAAAATTTCTTAGAAACAACGCGTTTTATACGATATACCAATTCAGGACGTTGGAGATTTAAACTTTTCGGTAGGTTAACGCGTAAAGTTATTACTTTGACGATGATTCAAAAATACAAGTCAAGATGATATCGTCAATTTCAGAAAAGCATCTACATTATAGAAATTTGTCGTGCAATTATGTCCCGTTTCTCAATCATATTAAAACGTACGAAATACCATATAAGCATAAATTTAGTAAAAATATTCTGGTGGCGCGATATTGTAACTTGAACGCTAGTAAGGGGAATATCCCGAAGATAGAACCGGCAAAAAAAGTATCAGTGTTTGCGAAAATGAAGCAAATGACGAAGGATTATTGGCATGTTTTAATACCAGTCCATATAGTTACTTCTATAGGTTGGATGGTCTCGTTCTATTTTATAATTAAAAAGTAAGCTCTGTTATATGGTATTTGCATGGTAAGTTACACTATTACACTACTTTGCTATGTCTATTCTTTCAGTGGTGTGGATATTACATACGTTATGGAACTTATGCATTTTAGTAAGAAATATGTAGAAGTGGTAAAAAACTCAGATGTTGGAAATTGGGCATTAGCATATCTTCTTTATAAAATATTCACACCTGTTAGATATACCATCACTATAGGTAATTTAATAAAGATTTACGTATTAGATTTACGATTACGAAAAATGAATAATAATATGTTCGTACATGACATATAGGATGTACAACAATGGCAATTAGACAACTTAGCAAATCGGGAATTGTAAAACCTCTGTCATTTGGTAAACAATCACATATGGTATGCAAATATAAATATATTTAAATATTGTTTTTTTTTTAATCTAAGATTAAACCCAATTTACCATTTTCAATTAAAACTGATATCTAAATTATTTCTTACATGCCTACATGCCTTCTTGATGTAGTCTGCATATGAAATTGTGTGTAGGTTTACTTTTTTTATTATCAGAAATTATAATTTATCTCTACATTTCTTTTTTGCCTGCCTTAGATTTATTAGTACGCTATTTTTATATTATTATTCTATTTTATATTTTTTCATATATTATAACATGTACCCTATGTTGTAGACAGCAGAATCAAGTAAAACGACAAAAACAGGATTCAAAACGATAGAACGAAGTACGGAACCTCCAAAAACATAGCGAATAGACGAAGCTGTTTGATCAATGGATAAAAATTTATAATCCGAAAACCTGGATGATCGGGTGGATGTATATTAATTCTTGTAAATGTGTAAACGTTATGATGTTACGATAAAAGAAAAATCTTGTATGTAATATTATACAAAAGATAATGTATAACTCCTTTACCTTTAAATCTTAAAAATCAACTAAGTCAGATATATCTTTCTTTATTGAACGGATGTTTTTTTACCTTACATACCGTGCATACATTTAAATAACATTGTACTTTTCATCTACAATACACGCAACTTATCATCAGCCTATGTTATCTACACGCAAAAATATTTATTAATCAGATATAGAGAAGCTTTTTTTTGGCAGCACATTTTGTGCGTTGTAACATCTTAAAATTATTTTTCTTTAATATATCGAATATTCATCATCATTCAAATATTAAGATTTATATAAATTTCCAACAATAACATTATGATTGTATCATTAAAATTCCTGAGTAATAATCATAAACGTCAAAGAGTATTGCATGAAATTTTTGATACTAGTAATCGATATATGATGTATTGTCGTAATAAATACTGTTAGCAAACGCGATACATCGAATATGGTAATAATACGGCATATTTATTGTAGACCATCATACCGAGGCGAATCCAAATTCTTAATCGTAAAAAAGGAAAAAAACGGATACGACTTGACAATAAAATTGTGCACATATTATATACACGAACTAAAATAAGGAATCATTGCTTAACGACGATGTAATTATTATGCTAATATATCACAGTTGCCTGCGCAACTCGTTCATCCTAACGAGACTACTGCATTGTCGCAGTACCTTGGACAAAATAAATAAGAGCACATATATTAAATATACCGTTAACTTATATTAATAGCTGTCAATGGAAAATTGTTTCTTATAGGATATACACATATATTGTTAAAAAAGATCAAACATCGACCTGACTATAAAATCTAAATGATCCCAAGAGGCAGTGTATGTATGAAGGCGTTTAAGCTTATAGACATCGTCTGCAGTCAATATATGCATCGTTCTTATACATATTATATATTAACTGTTGTATCTATATCATATATCCAACAAGACTCTTTCATATATTCTCAAATATATATTCTCGATATAAACTGCAGACAATTTCTGTAAGTATGTACGCGCCTTAAATATTTCAATTCTGTATGTGTCCAGTCTTGCTAGGTTATATCAACGTCTCACGTTAAAAAGGAACAATAAAGCTATATTATTTTCGTAGATATAGATTAATCATATTGCGTAAATATCAACATCTGTGTTTCCTATGAATTTCTACTTTATAAATCTTTGATATTTTGATAGACATACGTAAGTTTTATATTATTAATAGGTCTGTTTGTTTAATCAATTCTTACCATATTTATCATTGGATGACCGATATACGAGCGCAGTTCAATTTTAAACATTCAATTTAAAACTTTTTAACTTAACTTATCCCATAAATTGATAACTAGCTGATACTGGCTGCGGTGCCCTGGGTTGTGTGTGGGATATGCGTTGGATGTGGCACGCACGACACATAAGTCTACCATCGAGTGGGTAGCATCGTTTGTCCGGTTCATCAGTCAATTGCATGCCACAATCTTCACAAACGTAACAATCTACGTGGAAATCTTTGTCCATGGAAACGACTCTTACGGTCTCCTCTGTGCCCTGAAAAGTAAAACCACCCATTGTTCGAGATCTGCTTAGATCCAGAAGAAATTACATCGCATGAAAATGAAATTACTTACTTCGACGGGAGTGATTCCTTTACCACAGGAGGCACATTTTGGCGCGAACATTCTGTGATAATCGTTTACGCAATAGATTTTATTGTCCACATCAACAGTGAAGGGAACACCGTCAAGACATTCGTTACAAACGCAACATCTAAAGCATCCTGGATGATAGGACTTCCCCATTGCTTGTAATATCTATGGACAAGGGAATACTCGGTTAATTACAATACCAACGTAAGTCATCTTAACATCATCGACTTAATTACCATTTCCATAATGAGGTGACCGCAGATTGCGCATTTCTCGGCGGTTTGTTGGAAGCCAGAATACTACAGACAAAACGTTCTATGAGCTACGTCATCGTATCACGCGTCCATCGCAATTAGTGTCTTACGTACCAGATAATCTTCCTCGCAGTATACCCTTCCGTGAACATTATAGAACGCTTTGCCGCGTAACGCTCTTCCACACGAACAGCATATAAAACAATTTGTGTGATAAAGGTTGCCCATGGCTTGGCAAGCTTGGCCAGCTCCAGTCACTTTTTCACCGCATGTATGACAGATACCTGAGAGAAAATATCAAGGTATACTTTAGAGATATCGCGTCAAAACCATATGACAATATTTTCTTCGTGGCAATAAACCCTTGAACTATTTTTGGAATCGTGCGAGTGCCTTGTCAACCATAACTCTATAGTTCGGTCGCATTGGCAGCGTTTAAAAATACCCCCATCGATACTCGACAATGAGATCCGCTCTTCAGGGTCAATAACTGTCAGAAACATAGGCTAATGGCACGATACAGAGGAACTAGTTGGAAGAAACGCACTTACAACTATCAATGGGTAATACCGGCCCTGCCATTCCCACCACAGGAATCCTTTATCCCTCATTCACCGTTCGTGACACTTGCAGTTTCGATTCAATGACGGTTCGGTTTCACTAGGCCAGTCTCGCTCGAACTAGAATCCGCCAACGAGTCGGACTAGTCTATCTATAACGAGATTACTTACCGCGGCGAGCGCGACCTGGCCACGGTTGTTTGCCGTGTATAGGTCGTTACACGAAGAATAGTAACTCGTACACAAAAACGAAGAGGAGCAGAAACTAAGCTCAACCTAAACGCCAGGCTACCTTTCGACTCGACATTGGCTCGCTCAACTGAAGTTCCTATCCGCTCGCGCGGATCTTTCAGTTCCTCTTTGCCTCGTGTTTAAGCTACGTTCAAATAAAATCTAGACCACTATCGTGTATGAATAATTCTGAAAATACTGGTTTTGAAAAAAAATGTTAGGGAACCGAATATAGGCATGGACAAAAGTAATTTGCATCGAATGCATGCTTATCTACATTGATAAGTGTTTCACGATTGTATAATTTTTCGAAATTACTAAAGTAAGAAAACGTATCGCGAAACTTTATTTTTAACGTGTGACAAAATATTTTAGAAATTTTAAATAAGTAATGTTATAAATCTCTTCGTCGATTACGATATGGATGATGATATTTCATTGATATTTCTGCGCCGTTATTATTTGGAAGCTCTATCTTTATATTATGCAATATTTTTCATTGAAATATCGAATAATTGATTTCAAAAGAGAATCGTGCAAAATGCCCAATGTGAACATCACCTTACGTTGCATCGATACTCACGTATAATACAAGGGAGAAATGATATATGTATGCGTGCATCTTAACATACGCATGTAACGCGCACACTTGCGGTGCTTCATGTAGGTGCTAAGACACGTAGGTGGAAACGAATGGGCAGAGAGTGAATGTCAACGAAACGTCGCTGTTAAAAAGTTTCGCGACACACTGAAACTTGACTCCATTTTCCGAAACCGGTCTAACCAAGGAGGGAACTTGCGCCGTGGGAATTGGCACGGTACCCCTGCTAGTTTTTTATTCCTTCTCGGAATCGGCCGCAAATTATGGATCGGAACGTGTCGGAAATTAAGTCCCCTAATGACGGAATTATACGAAATTAACGAATTTTTGATCGGTTTAAATATATTATATCAATATTGCTGGAAAAACGAATCACGATAATCGATAAGGATATTGTTCTTAATAAAGATGATGCAATGAGAAAGTTTCGATCGAACAACAGATTTAAAGATATCGGTGGATATCTTATATATTTTCGTGAACGTTCGACGATTGTTTTGATATTGTTCGATTCTTACCAAAGTATTCCCCTTCCTCTTCTTGCTTTTCCATCTCTTCCTCGAGTTGTCGCGTCAACTCTTCTATTTTTCTCTCCGCTTCGGTGGGACCCTGCAAGAATAAATCACATCCCGCGTTGTGATCGGTCGAGTGACAAATGGTGCCATAGATCGAGATAGGATTTCGTCATAGGGACACATAAATTTGCATACTGTTACAAACAACGTTTCAAGAGGCAAAAAGAGAAAAGTCGATACATAGGGTATATTACATGCATCGCGGGAATGCGTACACAGTCTATGAATAAAATATTGCACGGTAACTATACAGCGCTTGTCAGGAGCTGACAATTTACAATGTGTGATTCAGCGCGAGTTCGAAGAAAGGACTCGTCACGAATCGTAAAATATCGTGTTTCTTTTCGAACGATGCCAAAAGTCTTCGAAATTCATGCCAATTTTTTTATTTTTTTTTTTTTTTTTTTTTTAGTTCAAATCATGAAAGGAAATATTTTTCGAATTGTTTGAAACAGTATATCTATCTAGGCAGGCGGCTAATCTTATCGTCACATAGGTCAGTCATTACGTAAAATATTGGCGATAACGACTGACATTCATGACATCATCGTTTAAATATGAAAAGAAACGCAAATTTTTTTATAACTTGTTTATAACTTGAACGGCATGACAAAAAAATATACAATCTTTTTATTTTTTCTCCAACAACAATTTCTAGAAAATCATCGGAGTACATCGTATAAATAAAGTGTTAGTCGCTATAGCTTTTATATTAAATCAGTATGCAAATGGATCAGCATGCTTGGCAATCGGCCAACACAAATCGAAAGCAATGATGCGTTCTCGTAACCCAATTAATATGGTTATAGCGTTACATTGTGGACTGATTTTACAAAGAAAAAAAGCAGAAAATACGTTTATTAAAAAGTTATTATATTAATTGGAGAAATTGGAGACAAGTTTCGTATATTAATTTTTTTATGTTATAGTTCCTTACGGAAGGTCTGGGTGGTATGACATTGTAGGGTAGTAATCCCTTGCCAGATGTCGGTTTCATTGGTGGACTGACTGATTTTCTTTCCTCTGGTTCAGGTTCGGATGGCCTTTGCAGTACAGGTACACCAGCATTTAAAAAGACAGGGCCGGCCACACCACTGGTCACCCCTGGAGGGAGACTGGTAATTCTAGGTCCATGAACATTTGGATCAGATTCTGTGGTGGTAGGTGTACCAGTAGTCACTGGTGTTTGTATCTGACCACGTAGAGGACTTCCAATATTATTCGTGGAAGATGGTGACACATGTCTTGGTGAATTAATCACGTTTTGTGCGACTGTATCAGATGATATTTGATTATGAGTTGGACTTGATTTTGGAGAACCTCTTATACTATTGTTGTTAGTTACAATTCTGGAATTATCATTACGGCTAGGTGAATACATGGGAGATGGTTTTGATGTTTCAGAAGGATCAGGTACGTCCTGAACGAAATTTCTGTCATTTTGTAAATTACTTAATCTTAAATGCTCTGTTGATCTGTTAGAAGAATAAATTGGAGAATTTCTGGTAGGAAAATCTGCTCTAGGTTCTTGATGATGATAATTTCTTTCATTTGATGGCAACACTCTATTTGGAGAGTAACAAGGAGAGTTACGGCAAGCAGATTGTTCTCCTTGCCTCACACCATAAACAGGTGAGTTTCTAGCTTGAGTTTCTCCTGTAATATTTGCATTTGTACTTCTTGTGTTTGATTCTATGTACGGTTTATAATTTTGAGGGCTATCCTGACGATATTGTGGCTGTTGTACATTCTCTATATGATTTGAAGCTCTAAATCCATGCTGTCCACTTATTGAACTATCCAGAGTGCCACGATAATGATGTGGTTCTGGAGGTAAGCGTATTGGTGGAGACTCACTGTGGTAAGGAAGCCCTGATCTGGGAGAATGTTGTTGTTGTTCAGAATTATAATTAAAATTTCTGGTTGGTGTTTGTAATTCAGATGGTGGAACATAAGCACTTCTACCAGCCTGATGATCCAAAGATGAAGAGGATCCTTGTAAGTACCTTGATGTAGAGGAATCAACACATCGTTGTAAACTTGAGCCATCATAACTTTGACCACGTATATTGCTTCCTCTTTGTTGTGTATATGATAAACTTTGCGTTATACCCCTCTGATTTTGTGCTTGACCCACTTTACCAGTCATGACAACATAATCACCACCATTAATTGTAGCTGGATGATAATAATTTGGTGGAACTTGTGGACCAGGTTTATTTTGCGTATTATCTGGAAAATGTACTTCCTGAATATTTTCATACACAGGAGGTGCCTCATATGGAGGTAATTCTTTTGCTGGAGATGCAGATTGATATCGGTTTCCAGTAGGCACTTGTGGTTGTGCTTTTCTAAAAGTGGGTTCATAAGATTCACTTGCTAATGAACCTCTTGGACTACTTTTAGGACTTTTTCTAGATTCCACTGGATGATAATAAGGAGGATGTGGTTGATTTTGTTGTGGATAGTAGTCAATATTTTCATATACCGGTGCTTGTTGATGACTCATACGGTTTTGATTTTGTTGTTGCTGAGCACTGATTTGTTCCACAGGTTTTGGTGTGGCAAATCTTGATGCAGCTATTATATTTTCACGTTCATATAACTTGTAATCAGTTGTTGATTGTCTGCAAGTATCAGTATTACTTTCAATGAAACTTTCAATAGCACCAACTGGTCTACCAGACACTCTGGTATCCGTTCTTGTTATGGTATTTCTCGACACGGGTACCTGGGCCTCAGGTCGTGATCCCGTGACCCTACCGGTACCCGATGCACCGCCGGCGTCAGTAGGTTCATCCCCGAGTTGCAGATAACCTAGCTTTTGTACGTAAGAATCGTCGGCCGAGTTACACATTGGCAGTGATTCACAGTAAGGCGATCGATGATAAGAGAAAAAGATTGCTTGATTATTGTGCGAAAATTATATATCAATATTGTTTAAAAATAAGATTTTAAAAAAATCATTACAAAGAAATTCGACATCGTTCGACAAGCTGAATCAGCTCGGTGGTCGTCATGTCAAATCGATTTTCTTCGACTTGTTAAATCGTCCAACCTTTTTAAATCGTCTTTACATACGCTTCTTTTTTTTTCACAATCGCAATTTTTTCACGAGATGCGACAAAACACGACACACATATCGCGACGAAGTTTACTGGACAAAATCAGGGCCGTTTTTCCCCCACGATTTTGGGATACGCCCCGCGATCACGGCGCCTCGAACTCACGTCTTCTTGCTTCGACTAGCGTTTGTCCACCGGCACAAAATCTCGGATAATTCGTTCCGTACGAAAAATCACCACCTGCGAAAATTCACACGATACGCACACACATGTATCCCGCACGCATCATGGTTCGTCAAACCAGATACCTACGAGACATTTTCCCCTGCTACGAATCATCCAGACGAAACTTGTGTTATTATCTTCCTCCACTATGTGGCGCCACAAACTCGATTTCAGTAAAGGAAAGTAAGATTCCTGCATTCAAAGTAACGACTTATCCTTTTAGTTGAATTGGCGCTATGGTCGATACAAAATGAAAATCCATCCATTGACAAAGGTAATACAAGATATTTTCTTTTATTAACAATAAAATTCAACTCTTTTTCCATAGAATGTCAATTATTATTATCAAAGATAACTACATCTATATTGACAGTTTTAAAGAATGCAACTTTCGTTGATATATTTTACAAAAGAAAGAATAGATTTTTCTATGGACACAGAAACTAATAGATAACGTTTTCAGCTTGCCTTAAGACGCATAAATGGGCTCCTTCAGTCTTCCCCTGCCACCCCTTGCGCATTTAAATGAAGATATCTTTATCGAAAACAGGTAGGAGTTTAACACGAGATCGTTCCCCCTCTCTACTGGTTGTTGGTAGAGCAGAAGCAAATGCATTCAGTAGTGGCCGAAACAGGTTTTTTTCAGGACCTGGCTAGGAACAGAATGGACAGGTCGACAGGTAAAGATGCAGGATCCTGTCTCGCGCGCCATCATGCATTCACAGGTACCGTGTCTCGCATAATAATGTAATGTAATTCCAATACACACTGTCTGCGTTTTGTATCTACCATGATCGACACGTAGAAATTATCTATCAATAACATCTTTTGCATATAGTATTATCTATCAATCAGGAGTATCTCTTGCATACACTTAAATCGAGGATCAAAAAAATGAATAGTTCAGATTTTTTTATTATTTATTACGTATCCTGCGTTAAGAGTACACGTTACAATTGCTTGAAAAGGCTTCTTGTGCTTGACTGACATAACAAGACAGTCATCGATACTTCATTGGTCTGAAAGATTTGGGATAATCGACGCCTTGTTCACGAGATCGCTTTACCGACAACGTGATCGATGGATTCTGAGAATGAGAGAAGCAATGAAATTAATCACGTATATTCACTCGCATCGTGTTCTCAATTAATTTGCAACAATTGACATATAACCGCTCTGGGCGCGATGCATCTTCCTCAATTAAAATCGAATCGTGTGACAATTGTTTGAATTAATGATTGAAATAACCGTTTTATCTTTCTTCTGTGTTTCAGAATCTATATTCCATAGACGAAATTAATTTTTTTTTTTTTTTGTTTCAACGTTCGATCATTGGCTCAAGTTTGCACGTATTACCGTAACCACCGTCTCGTTGTCTTCCTACGCGGGAAAGGAACCAACTTTTCATTCGTCGTGTCTCGCAGCTGTTCACCGATCGCAATAACGTGGGCGAAGGCGACCTCACACTCAACGAAAACTTTATATTTTCGAAAGGTGAGCAAAAATCACGGATTTCTAGCCTTCGAGCCACCCACGAGACGGCGAAACCCACGTTTTTCCAGGCACCTGCGCGGCCATACGCTATTGGTTAATACCAGTTGATCGATCGGTCGATATCGCCTCTGACGTAACAGTACGTGTTTGAATCCCGTCTTTTCATTAGCCTGTCCCTTGATAACTAATCTCTCGTTCATAAATACTATATGAATTATCGTCAGAATTTATAGGCTCGTGATTTTTTGAATCAATAGAAAATCATAGTCGATTCGAAACCTATTAAAAAGATAATAATCAGAGGATTTAGGATTAATAATTGGAGAACAAGGCTAGATACGATTAAAACAAAAATACAGTTAAAAATACGTATTATTCACGATAAATATTCAAACGCGCGTTTCATTGCGTATGCCGCGAGCGGAAGTACAGAAACTGACACCAGATCGCGATCCATTTCTGTCGAACCGCGGTACAATATGACATCAGGGTTCTCATGTACTGCCACGTCGCTGCGACAATAAACACGCGGTTTACGGCCGCAGGATCGCGCATGTGTTCACGTGCACACGCTCTTACGCATTTACGTACGCGTAAAGAGAGGTTGGCTGTGTGTCGTGAGCGAACACAGGAAACGTGCAGCCCTGTGCTACCCGCATGGCTCGGAATGCACGAGAATAGAATCGCGTCCATCGTATGCGTATACGCCCCGTACACGCGCGTGTCCATCCGTCTTGGTGCACAATAGAAACGACACCTACCAGCGCTCGTGCACTCAGGACAGAATTTATGTTTGTAGAGTGGTGGATGGATGTAGTATCAGTGGACGCTTGTATATTATAATGCTCGGTTAACTACATCCTCTATACCGTACCGATCGTACGTGTACACGCGTGTACACGGTAATGGTGTGTACGATACACCTGTGTACAATGCTCGCGCTTAGAGAGCATATACAGGTTGTTTCTCGACCCCAGTTAGCACGGTGACTAGGCGGAAAAGACGATTTCTTCGCGGAAAAAATGATGGAAGACCGATATATATCCTTCGCATCGGTTTAATTGCACCGCGATATAATTATACGCTTTATGTTTACCGATTTATTGTATACATATGCTGATTTATCGTGGCACAAAGGGGATTTTAGCTTTCTAAAAAAGGAAAGCGCGCGACCGTGTGATTTTTGTCGACAATTAGGAAAGTAAGATTTCGTTCACGATCAAATTTCTTCGAGTGCGACTTTCTTCCTTTTTCTTTATCCGTGCCGATAATGTGTTTCCTCGTTCGCGCTTATGCGGGCACACCGTTGCTTTTTTGCGCCATCGAATCGAATTCCTACACCTTTTAGTCGGACGCGACGCCCCAAGCAACGGAAGTCTCGCCGGTTCCCCCGTTCAACATGTGTGCAAGTAAGCTGCACGTGTTTCTACCGTGTATATGTCGTTTCGTAGCAACGTGTGAGTGGATTGTGTCGCATGCTTCGTACGGTATCACGCTGCTTCTTGGTTGCTACCTTGTCAGGAATTCAGACGGAAACCCGACGACCTATGTGATTGAGATGTCCCTTAAGTTTCCTTCGATCGTGATCGATCTTGCTCGTATCGAACGTTGAGAGTAATTATTCGTAGATGTAATTATTAAGGATCTTCCCTATAGAACCAGTGAACGAGTGGAATGTTTATAACGAAAATTAACGTCGGCACGTAAAGATTCTTTTTCCACGCGGTACACGAAACTCATCGAAAGTGGCACGAGACTTTACGAGTTTCATTAGCAATGCAAATTATGGCTCGTTGCTTCTTCGCGTGAAACCGTTTCGATAGATAAAGAAGATTTAGCTAACAACGTCGAAATTCACGGTAATTTAATTAAAATTGAAGATCTTAACTCTTTAGAGGCAATAACCCATTCTGCATGCTATGTATTGACAATTAAAATTAATTTTTTTTTTTTACGTCATAATTATAAGAAATTAGTCGATCAATCGATTCTAGTAGAAGCTCTCACGCGCGAGTCATCTTTGAGTCATCAGAGGTACTTAACTCCGTCTCAGGTTACTTTCTATCGCCATAAACGCATCTTTATCCTCGAATGCTGTGAGTTTACCAAGAAAATAATCGCGGCACATTCGCGGTTCCCATCCATCTTCTGCAGAAACAATGGCTCGTCCTAAAGGAGGAGAGACGAAGAAAGACGGAGAAGGCAATCGCTTTCCTTTCTCAGAGGTAAAGAACGACGATCGTAGCCAGGCTTTCGCGATCTTGAAAACAAGAGGAGATCTATGAATTTTAAAACGTCTAATCGATAAATAATTAATTATGGAATATCCGTTTCTCGAACGATAAGGAAAGAAAAGGTGAAAGTGAACAATAAAGGAAGTCTCTTGGAAACGGTCGAGGAAATGGCGAAGCTTGCGTGATCTCGAAAGCAAGAGGATAAGAGAACCTCACAATGCTGGAAAATGGACTAGAAACTAATGGAAACAAGACGAATTCGTTGCCCATAACCGTGGAAGATGCGTATATGTGTAACGAACAGTTAATTTGCCTGTGTCACGCGATTCAGGAAGGCCGTTATACGCGAAGGACGCTTCCCACGTTATTTCGCGTCAGATGCTACTCATCCAGGGACACGTTCGAAATAATTTTTCGAGTACCGTTGAAACGACCAATTTAATTCAGCGACGTCCTTAATTATACGTACGAAGGAAGTTCCAATTAATATTTTGACCATTGGATCTAAAAGAAGAGTTGCAATTGCGATGAACGAATTTCTTGCACTGGAATGGATTGCGTTCGTTCGTGTTTTTTTTTCTTTTTTTAGGATCTTGCAACGAGGATACGATTACGCTTTCTGCCTTTGAGGTGAATAATTGAGTCTAGTATCTGTGCGAAAGGAAAGTATACGGTTGCTATGAGAATACGAACAGGCTTGATGGATCAATTGAGTTTGAAACGAGGATGCAAGAGGATCTCGTTGGAGGAAATTGGATGGTTGGTATTACTAATTAAAACGAAGGAGCACGGTTGGCTTGAGAAAAAAATTAAACATTTGGGGACCAGAATTGGAAGTCTCGGTTCGCGCGAGATCACACGAGATGGTCACGCGCTACCAGTTCCAAGGTATGGATGTCGAAACGCGGTGCGTTTCAGAAGGTTTCGGGTTCCCAGATTCTCCGTTACGTCTTATACTAGGTCGTCTCACAAGTTAATTACTAATAATTAACGTATTTATTACAAAATTTTCCGTAACAGAACTCCGTTTTCTGAGAAAAGAGAAAATAAATTTATTACAGAGCGAGAGCTGTGTAGATGATTTCATTATGGCAAGGAGAGCCGAGGGAAAAATGGCGAATTTGTGCCGGAAATATGAAATTCTTAAGCAACGAAAGTATAAAGTATGCACGGTCCCATATTGCACGGCGCCGGAAATGCGTAACACAGCGTGGTGAAAACTCGATCGCACCTTCATCATATCCTGAAATTAGTTGGCTGGTTAAAATTCTCAGAGCTGGAACAAGTTTCACCGCGATTAGAATTCTAATAATTTATGTCACTTGTTTCTTAATTACACTAAAACTATTTTCCCACGTATTTAATATTTAAAAATTTCCAATTGAAAGTTATTTCGCTACTTGATTATAGAGTTTGTACAACTTAAGTAAATTATCCAGATTGTGTTATTATTCGTAAAAAAAAAAATATTCAAAGCTTTATTGCACTATAATCTTATACCTATATATTTTTTATTTTATAAAAAATCCGATTATAAGAAAGTTTCGTGGTAATCGATGGAAATTGATTCGACTTCGATTCGTTTCACGTGAGTTTCAAGTTTGCACGCGATCCCTCTAATTGTGAATCACAGGAAGACATCGTTGCAACTTGACCTCGAGCCAATCACCCCGTTTCTCCAACTCATACCGCGGAAGTTCGATTTTCAGAAAAGAATTATCTTTTGCCGACTTATTGCCGGAAATCCTTCGATGCCTTTATCATACCTTATACGGAATTATGTCTCATAACTTCGATAAAATATCGTCCCTCCTTCGAGAAATCTGTGTCACGTACGCTTGACCAATGAATAAATGCTAGAATATCATAATTAAAACGATCGGTATGATTCACAACACGTATAATTAACGCTTCGCGATATATTCGCGTTCCCATCTTGTCTAAATGATAGATGATACAGATCAACGATCTTTCCATTCCATGCAACAACGCCATATTTACTCATCGTCACTTTACTCGTGTACAGTTATCGTTGGATTGCACGAGCCACGCTTTGATCAAAGATCAACAAACGAACCGTGATTTATTGGCCGTTGCCGTATACTATTAGCATATCTGAGATATCGTCGAATCCTGTAGTAGCTCGCGCCAAGAATACGTGACAAAACGCGGGACTCGATAAATGTCCACGCGCGTTTTCATACGAGTAACGAGTACCATTGTCCAACTATGGCTTTACAATTCTGTTGGGGAACAATAACTAAATAATAATAATAATAATAATAATTTCTGCTCAATCCACGTTCCGTATAATTTCACGACTTAACTTTTTCGTAAATCCCGTAACGAGTGGTGCACGAGGTAACGGCACCTGACCTATCGACATTAATTAATCGCATCTCGCACATGTCCGAATGCATACGTCGTGGTAACTTCCGACATTCCTGCTTATTTGAAAAGAATAAAATTCATGCGTGTACGAACGCGCACTATAGTTGACACAGCAAGATACGATCCTGCGTATGCGAAACATTGTGCAAGAAAGGCAGTTGCGTGCGTAACGAAACACTTCGGTGGCGGAATTTAGACACGGAGACAATTTTCAGTAATTGGCATTGTTCCTTCCGACTTGTTTCCCGATTTTTAGTTCACGGATAACGGTAAAATTAAATTGTGGTTTGCCAGCGTCGCGGTATAACGTGGAATAACGTGATTGGAAAATGTGAAGGAATATTGAAGATCGTTAAACGTATTAGTCGAAATGAATAAAAATTACTTAAAGGATATAAAAGGGTTAATTACGCGCAATATTTTCCAGCAGCGTACACTTATAAAATAAGAAAATTAGGGATGAAGAGGCGGGCGTGTGCCACAATCGAGTATCAAACACCACACCCTTGGTAGGGCCGCACCCTTGGCAAGGCGCGGTCTGTTGCACCTTTCCACCCTCGCGACACGCAAACACACGCTCCGGATCATCGCTCCACCGTTTTC